GCCCAACCCGCCAAGTAATGGGCTGGGTTTATGTATACGAAAGTCCATACCGGGCCGGGTTATTGACTACCCCAGCCCATGGGTCAACGGGTTAACCCGCGGGTTGCCAAGATATAAAATACAGTAAATATATTATTTACCTATAGTGATATAAATAAATTACAGTATTAAGAGACTGTATTCTATCAAGAATGTAAATCATTGCTCTACTAGAAAAGGATCTACAGCCGTGGGCTCCTGCGGGTGGTTCACATATATATATTTTGACCCATGGGTGGTTTGTATACTATCTTGACCCGGCCCAAACCCAACGGGCTGGGTTGCAAAACCTGAAAAACCCGGCCCAACCCGCGGGCCTAACAAGTCTAATAGTTATTGTCCAGATCTTATTCTTACTATACTATATATAAGAAAACTGTATAGATAAGTAAGCTATATCTCCAAGTATCTTAAATAGCTTTAAGAATATTATAGTATATATATCATATATTTTAAGATTAAGAAAAGTATATATAAAAGTGTTGATCCCTAGTAAATTAGTAAAGAATATTAAAAGAATATACTAGGTATATACTCTGTATATATGGATTCTATCCAGAAATTAAGAAGATATTTATATTGCCATTAACTATTTTAAATAAGAGATCTATCTTAATATACTTAATATTAATAAATATCTTTACCTGGGCATATGTATAGCATAGAATAAGAAAATATTATAGATTAAAGAAATAAATATTATATATCTATTACTGATTATTCTTCTTTAGTTAATTAAAGATATATTTATACAATACTTCTAGTATTAGCTAAGTATATATTCAGAAAATAATAGTTATTACTATACCAGTAATATCAGTTTCTTTAGAATAAGTTAAAAGTCTATATTTTTAGATTAAAGCTTAAACTTTATCTTGAATATTAAGGCTTTAATATAATACCTGTAGTGTTAAGGAACTAAATCACTTATATATATCAGTAAATTATAAAGAAATTATAAACTATCCTAGATAAAGTATAACCTTAGTATATACTATATATATAGAAGAAATATACTTACTGGCAGTTAAATTAAGAATATTATACTTTAAGATTATCTAGACTATCTTATCTATAATATCTTTAGGTAATTATATTAGTAGTGATAGAAAATAAATATAATTTAACTGGTAAATTAATATTAAAAAAGGAAATTATTACCAGAATATAGAAATATATAAGTTAAATTTAATTTTATACTTTAGAATATAAAGCCTGCCGCTATTATAGATATATATATATACTAGATTAAATATAAACTTAGTATATATATTTATTAAATTCAAGATATACTTACTATACTATCTTTTTTAAGATATTGACTAAGTAATAAAATTATATTTTTCTATTCTTAGGCCTGTTCTATATTCTATAAAAACTTAAAGATAAGTCTTGTTAATCTAAGTAAATTATTAAACTAAATAAGTATAATACTAAGATTTAATATCTGAATTCTTAGGATAGCTAAGAAAATAATTCTAGCTTATTCAGTATATACTTGATATATATAGTATATATATATAGAGTATATCTAATTTTAATAAAATATTATCAGTAGTATTTCTTTATATATCTTGATATCTTGATATTTATAAGGACCTTCAGGCCATCTCTAGTAATTTATAAAAGTATAAAAGATATTTTTAGTTTCTTGTTTAATTAGTTAATTAACTACTTAAGAATAAGAGATTTCAGTATAATATAAGTACTGTTTATTAAGTAAGTCAAGATTAATCTGATTATATACTGGTAATATACTCAGTATATAGTTATAAACCTGTTTACAGGCCTTTACTGAACTATATATATAAGATCTGTGCCAAGCCTTATATTATCTATTATTATCAAGCTTCTGCAGAAGATCTATTTTAATAAGTTTTGCAGTTCCTATATAGCTTTTTATAAATTAAATCTATTTAGTGTATTAGTTTAGCCTAGATCAAGTATATACTTTATATACTCTTAATATAAGCTATATAAAAATATTGTTTATTTCTTTTTCAGATAGATTATTTAGATTTCTTGAAGCGGGAAATGAGTTATAGTTATAAATAAAATAGAGAATATCTTCTGCTACTGTTACTAGATATTCTGGTATTAAAAGATGTTCTTGAATCTCTTTAATTATAATCTTATAACAGGCATTTTGTGCAATAATAACACTATCTAGAGTAGCTGCTTTCTAGTATAGGGTCAGTATATACTATATATATATTCAATATACTTACTCACTGTAGGCCTATTATTATTGGTATAAAAGATTCTTGTTCCTGTATATTATCTTCAGGATCTGACAGAGTAGATCTAGTATTAAGTATACTACTATAATTATCTCTAGGAGACTCCTGCACCTCAGTCTGAGAATTAGATACCTGAGTATAAGTTTAGCATATACCCAGTGTATAATAAGTACATACCTGAATTGGGATATTATTGATCCATTATACTATTCTTTCCATAACTTCAGTACTAGCCATTATTGTGATTTGATAAGGACAAGCCTATACTGAGTATATACAGAAGCAATATAATATATTGTGCAGTAGAAATTTATTAGGGCTATACCTTATCTATTATAGTAATTAAGCCCTAGTGTATATGCTCAGCGTGGTCTAAAAATCTTCCAAGTATCTTATTATGGTCTAAGAATACTGACTAATCACTTAGACCACAATGAGCCTTTTCTTGGCATTAGGCTCAGCGTGGTCTAAAAAGGGCGGTGAATCTCGGGGCAGAATTTTAGACCACGCCGAGCTACCAGCCCGCCATGGACCCATGGTTCCTCTTCAAAAATGTTCGGGTTAGATGGAGCTCAACAGGTATTGTTACCAAGCGCGCACGGCCTAAAAATGGCCTTGTCGGAATCTTGTCCCTGAATCTCCTATTCACCAGTGGTAGACATCGGAAGGAGTTCGGCTTCTAACCTTACCTCAGGAATAGCTCTCTGGTATAAGCTCATGCGTTGTCGATTAGGTAGGTATGTTTCTATCATGAGAAAATCGAACGAAGCAAGGTCTGAATGGGAAATTGTGCTCTTAGCATGTGTTACATCCTTTTTTTAAGGGAAAATCAAGACGTATATGTATCGTTTGGGAAAAATAAAATACACTCTTATGTTCAAAACTATCCGACGAATTATCTCCAAATAGTACCAGGCACTGTTTCTAACGCAGAACACATTATCCGGACCCAACAATCACACCCCAAGTGCACCCCCAACCTCCCTCGCACCCCTATCCCCTGACCGCACCGCACCCTCCATATACCCCTTCCAAACCAACGAAGTCTCCGTCCCCACAAAATGCACATTCCCAAATGCCGCCCTCACAGCATCCCCATCAACCCCAGAAAGCAAACCCGGCGGTGAAGCCGGCACAGGCCCACCCCAAAAGAACTCCTGCTTGGACCAGTCATACTCAAGAACACTGATCGGGTCCGGGACGCTGACCTCCTGTCCTGGTGGTAACTGTACGTTCTCGAACGCGGAACGCAGCTGGGTCCATGCGGAGCGGCGCCTCTCTTCCTCGGAGTGGAGTGACCATTCGCGACCCCGGGGGCCGACGGCGAAGCAGCTTAGAGACCACTGGTTGTCGTCTGGGATGCTGGTGTCCATGGTGAAGAGGAAGGGGCCGGCATCTGCATGGATGGTGCCTGAGAGGCCTGCGGGTCGCCAGAAAGGGTGGGGGAAGATGAAGATGATTTTGCAGTAGTAGCCTAATTTGTTTTCGTGAGCGAGACGTTGTTTCTGGGGTGGGAGTGGTGGCGTGAAGGTTATTGTGGGGTAGAGGGGTGTGGCGATGGAGAGGATGATCTTTTTGGCGTGGAAGGTTGTGTTGGTTGCTGTTTGGACCGTGCAGATGTCTATTGATTGGGATTGGATTTGGGTAATTTGGGTCACGGGCGTTGAGAGATAGAGCGTGCCTGGTTTTAGTTCTGCTGCCATGTTCTGCGAGAAGGCTTGTGTTCCTTTAGGATTGGGTCAGCTTTGTATAAATGAGGATGTAGATGGTGGGTGATGATGAGGATTTCCTCACCCTGTCGGACTCGGAGATACTGGGCTCCATCTTTGCCGTCTGAGGTTAAAGCATCGATCCCTGTCCCGGACTTGCACGCGTGTAGGAAGCTTAGCATACTGATTGCATTGCCTTCTACACCAACCAGAGCTTGGCAGGTGTAATCGAATAGATCCGCGATCGCTTCGGATTGGAAGGTCCGGATACAGTATTCGTACAAAGTGACATTGTCTAGCTCCTTTGCATTGGGGCCTAAGCTCGGATCTTCCAGATCAACATTGGCAATGAGTTCTCTAAGCTTGACGAAAACTTCAGACACTGCTAGCTGTTCTTCCTCGGGTATCTAATGATCCCGTTTATTGGTCAGCACTAGGCAGCCGTATATAGCCATCCGAGGGATGAGGGGGGCCTACCGGCAGTTCACCGTGAGGAGACAAGATATAGCCATTTGGAGACTGAAAAATGTCCTTTCCTTTGCATGCTTGCATCTGTCCCTGTAGTCCGTATCGCTGGAGAAGCTTGTACATCTCGCTTTGGGTAGTGTCATTGATCCAGGCAGCACCGACATCGTTGACACCGGGACCACTCTGCTTGGATGATATGCTGAGCGTCATCCCTCCCACCCTATCCGTAGCTTCCAGGACTACACAAGAGAGTCCCGCCGCTTGAACACCTAATGCTGCGCGTAGCCCGCTCAGTCCTGCTCCGATGACTACCACGTCTACTGTCCTGGGTGTGACGGGGAAAGTGTGGATACTTGATTGTGGATCCATGTTGTTCAAGAGTCGAGCCCTGTAGTTTTAGGACTACATAAAGATAGGTAAAGGGTGGTTGAGCGATTGGGGGACGAGATCACCCCTGACTATATAGACTGTCGTCAACTGACGTAGTATATCTAACAAAATACAAGGGCGGGTCCCGCGGCTCCCGTCATATAAAAATAGAAAGTTGCATGTCGGGTGCTGAGGAACACCCAGCAACAGCGAAGCACGGGCGTTAAATAGTAAGAATCTCGAGGAACAATTTTCGCCTTTCAGGTTAGTCAATTGTAAAGAATAATAATGACGTGTCAGCATCATTAATTCGAAAAGGAAATCTCAGTTACCTTATTTCCTTCTGTTCTTCCTATATCTGCCACTTGCGGTTGGTGGAAGATTTGCATCCATGCAGGTGACTTGGAATGAGCGAACAATTTACCAGTGTGTATAGTGCTCTACTTCAGAAAAAATAGTTATCCCAAGGACGCGCAATAAAGGCGCTTCAGATTCCTTGATCTCAGGTTCCACCGCGGATTGGAAGGTGGCGGACTAATCAATTCAGTCTCTTTTGTATATTGTGACCCTCAGACCTTCAGGGGGTATTGACGAGTTGAGAAGAGGAGTAGTAGTTAGCTTGCTAGAACTCTGTAGATGTAGTAGTGAGAAGGTGGAAGAAGGTAGCAAGCATGTCTCAGCCGTCACGTGCGATCACTAGATAGTGCAGAACATACCGGCATGCATTAAGATTATTTATATAACATTATTAGCAGTCCTCGTCAGATAGTCTTGAGATCCATCATAACTTCCGCGTCACGCATTCTCATCCACCAGGATAATCCCCTTCGCCCAAACCTTACACAGATCGTAGTGCTCAGCATATTCGTTCCCGAAGGCAACGATGGCTGGTTGCACAATGATCAGAGCATTTTTGCCATCTAATCGGCTGTCGTTCCCATGTTGACGGTGAATCGAATGCGCACTCATTACCGGATGCTCTACCCGGAAGACGGCCAGCTCATCCAAACAATAACACCTCATGAAGGATCGTTGAGTCCACAGGGAGATGGCCAACTCTCCGGCGGTCTGATACAGCTGATAGAGTTCCTGGTTGCGCCGGATCGCCCGCGCATCATCCCTATGTCGGAACAGTATGTGGGCAGGACCGGCCAAAAACCCAACCGCAAGTTCACTCGTCACGGCTTCTACTTTCTCGCGCAACGGTGCATTGTGGACGGAATTCGGAGGCGGGGTGGCCAGAAGCCGGAGCGTTTGTGAACGCCAGATGTGGGCCTCTTCTTTGTTTACTGCAACTTATTCGTCAGAGACTACTATAACCGGTTAGGCAGGAGCTCGGTGGGCATACCATCCAGCATTGATGCGTATAGATAAGATAATGTTTGGGCCGCGTGCGCCTTCGATGGTTCCTTGGCCTCTCCGAAGGCGAAAAAGGGATTTGCAAAGATCGACCGGAAGATATCCTTAGCCAGCAACGCCTGCATAAGAAGACCTGGGAGTTTGTCTGTCATCGCTGGCACTCTGCTGAGCAGGATGGTCCAGTCCTGCTGCGCACAGTATCCCTTCAAATGTTCCAAAACCGCGTTTTTCTCCTCGATTGACACAGATTCCAGCGCACGTAGCTCGCCCACGCTATAAGCTTCGGCCCAGCGCCGTAGTGCTTCTTCGAGGCTTGAAAGTTCTTCGCGAATTTGCCGGCTGCTTTTAGTGACCCAGGAGCCGCTCTTCGCGGCGCGAACCTGGGCTTGCAGTCGTTTGCGATCATTGTCTAGCTCCGTAATCCCTCTGGCCAAAGCAACAATGTGCGACTCCATCTGCTTCGCACGGCTATCACGGGTCCGAGGATTCTGCGCGGATGTTGGATCAACCTTCGTTGATGAAACGCCGCCCTCCGCATTCCCTAATTCATCGAGATTCTGCTCCACGCGCACACCCATGATATCGTTCTGCTCCATCGGGTGCGTTACCCCAGATTTTGACGCCTGTTTTCGATGCGTGCCGTGTTCCGGACTTGACTCAGCCTCGTGCTCGGAACGAGGACTTTGGCCTTGGTTAAATGTGCGCTGTTTCAGTCGGGTCAGGACCGCGCGACCGGGCGTAAGCAGGGTTTGGACATACCGCTACAAAACCGCACCCAAGGAGAGATTTTTTCGTGTGCGTCCGTGTGCCGGACCTGGCGAGCATCCCTCGTCCATTCCCATGCTCCTTGCGACTGCGTTCTGCATCGCAGTCATGACTTGATGATTTCTGTGATCGGCGGAACGAGGTCCTATGTCAGCTGTTTTCCGCTACCGCCGAACTAGATGTGGGACCCGACTTACCTTGCTACTCGTTTCCATGTCATCGGTTTTGCTAGCCGTGCGCTCTGCCATCTTCTGCGCCGGAGATCATAGAATGGCGCTGGATTCTGGGGGCGGATTAGAAGAACAGGAAGAGGGAGAGCGTCTTGTCGCCTGCTAGAAATCTTGGAGAAAACCCGAATCCCAATGGGATGTCGTCATTGGTTGCCCCAAAAGGGGGGGGGGGGGGGGGGAGGAATCAGGGGAGACTGAAGTCGGAGCATCGTCGGCCCAGTTCGGGGTCTGTGGACGACTAAAATCAAAGGAAAGAGAGCTGCAGGGCGTCACCAGTCATCGACGGCGTGTTTTATTATGGGCGGCAAATGTAGGACAGCGATGGTAATAATTCCATAACACTAATGGGTGGATCCAGGATCCTTGAAGATAAGTTCTGCAGCCGTTAGGGCAGCTTATTCGGGCCTATCAACCGCCACGCTAGCCTCTGTCCGAGGCCCATAATCCAATGGAATCATTGGAGTGGCCCCTGTCTGTGTGTCTGACTCGAGAGCTCACATTCGCAGCAATCAGAACGCAGGAATAGGAATTTTGCCAAGTCGGTGCGTCCGGATGTAATCAGAAAACTGCGACTCTTTAAAAGTGGAAACAGAAACAGAAAAATGCCCGAGTGGAAGCCCGCTAACCCGTTTCAGGGTAGTGCCCACTGTCAACCCGCCGCTGCTACTTCGGCGAGTCTGGACAACAACATCCATTTTTCTAGAAGGCGTAGAAACCTATTTGTTTCTTTTATTTAATCTGGTAAATTTTAGTTTTTGATTTTGATTTTCCTTTTGTTAGATCCATGCGAGTGGCCTCTCTTTCGTATACGTCGGTATTGGTTTCCCATCTGGGACCGAGTGCTGGTCTAGATGCGCCTATATAAAAGTCTATTATGATCCAATTATATATTCCTGTGTGACAGACAATGTCTTGCACAACTACTCATAAACCATTGTCATCTTCTAACCCACTGGATCCTATTCATCCAGAATATAAAGCAGGTGACCATGAAAGGCACTCTGGTAGCCTTTGTCTGAAAACATATTATCATGAGGTGAAATCTGCCCTTATTCCAGTGTTTCTGGGTGAGATTGCTTTTGAGCTTCATGGGGCCTGAACAAGCTTATTCTTATTAACTCAAATAATTTTTATTCCCAACCACATTGGTCTTACATAATAGTGTACGAAAAAGGAAACTCAAAATACGAATAGAAATGAGCCAAGTTATCTCCCATTGCAAAGCGCTGATATTTACATATTATTGGGCGCGTGTATGACGGTGCGATTAATGCCTAAGGTATCCGTCTGGGGCTGTGGGTTTCCAGCGGTTGCGTATGAGTTGTCGGTCCGAGAGTTCCTCCCCTGGTCCACTGATAGCTTACCGCTTCTGTGCCCCTGGTTCCTGGTTTTGTGCCAACTGGGTAAAACCTTTTTGGGATACTACCACTACACTACTCTGATATTTAACTTCTCCTATTTCCCAATGGAAAGAAGAAGAAGAATCGTAGCATGCCTGTACATATGAAATATTTTGATCTCAAATCGAGATAAGAGGTATTGACGAAATATCCTGGTAAATGCCCGGCGAGCAAGAATTCCGACCACGCTGGAAGAATACTCTGGGTAATAGGGTTTAGGGGATCATGTGGAATCAAAGTATCCTAATACCAACAGATACATCCTAACTTTCCTATTTCACTAGGTAAGAGGAGCGGGTATACCTAGATGGTACTGTAGTTAGGTTCGTAGTAGAGCTACTCTATAGGCAACCATACATCCGAAAACATGGACAGAACTGTGTAGCTTTCTGCTCTCTATACAGTACATAAGACACCAACTCCACTAGGAATGTCAGAGTGAGTGAATAAACCCTATCCAGACAGACTGGGAAAGAGTTACGCATCCCTAACAGGAGGGTTTTTTGGGCACTAACCGCCTCCACAGGATAACGCTACCTCGGATAGTGTGAAGTAAGTCAAGGATGCGCCCGAGTAGACAATTGTGGATCGAGTCCCTGCATGTACAATGCTTATTTCTCCAGGCAGACAGGGAATGGGCTATTGATGCATTTATCAAGGCGGAGACTGGAGGAGAATCCACACAATACGGGGGTCATTTCTGGGCTTTCCTGTGCTGTTGATGGCGGTGTATGCATGGGAATGGAGCGGAATAGGCACAAGTGTGATTCGTAGCGGGCCTTGCGCTTGTCCCATTCTTTCACTTGGGTGAATATGGAGAACGGTTATCTCGGGCTCTGGTACTCGGTGAGGAAGCCATTGGGTATGGTGATGCAGTAAGTTTTCTCACCGAGACATATCATACTTGGTTTCTATTACCTGTCTCAGGGACCGAATGTATTCCACTCCGTACGCTCATTCGATCCCATGGGGGGCAAACTTGGCTCACTCGGAACCCAACCACATCCCCAGGTAGCCAAGTTCCAAGATAACAGTGACCGTCAGACACGGTTCATCATTCAATTCCTGGGGGAACAAAGTGACTCCATAAATGCAAAGCCAATAACGCTTCTCGGCGGCGACGTCGACTAGCTGGTGTCGGGCGTCGCGATACACATGTCTCCCCGGATAAGGGAGAAGTATTGTTCTCAACAGGGGAAGTGAGGGTTGTGGGGCATATATTGTATTTATATCCTTCGGTCCGGCTAGGCTGTGTAATGGAGTGACGGTTTGGGCAATTAAAGTTGATACTAAGCTCTTTGTCTCGCTGCATGCAGGGTGCATATCAGGGAATCCTAACTCAGGAACCAGGGCTATAGCATGGTAGGTTAAGCAACGGGGCAAATAACAAGGCTCATCAGACAAAGAAGATGAAACCACTAGGGCCTGACTAGAGCAACCCATTGTTGATGTTACTTTTGTGGGTGGAGGCTTTGGTCCACTATCGTGGCTTAGTTGCGCTCAAAGCAGTGGTGAACAAAGGGAAGTGGGACGGGGTTGAATTCAGTGATCGAAGGTTATACGGCATGTGGAGTAATAATGGCTTTGGAATCTTGAAAAGGATCGTATGTTGTTTTGTCTGTGTGAATTTCAATACTGGATGGGATCAATATGGTGTGGTCTATACTCTCAGTATACAACATTCACAAGATTAAGACACATTCACTAGGTGCGTGCTTCAGGTACATCTGTCTATCATAACGTTAAGTTTTGACTGCAGTGAGGAGTAACTCTCCACTACGCCACTTAGGCTGGCCACGGGGCAAAGTGTCCTAGTGGACCGTGTGCAAATAGATCATTTAGAAGGTTTGACTGGACTGATTATGCCCGACTATTAGTGAACCGTTCTATGGTCACTTGGCATACTCTATCAATGGAGTGACACCCACGCGCGGGGAAGCATTTCATGTACAGCGACTGGATTCACTGAAGTGTGGGCATATTAATATATCAATCCCGGAGAAGGTGGAACTAGAAAGAAAGACTGTCACTCATTCACCAGGGTCATCGGGTCATATCCAATGCTCCTCAGTTATGTTATAAAGCCTCCATCCTCCCCCACCTTCATCCATCTTCTTCTCTCTTCTTCATACCAACATTATCATTTGACGATTGATGACTTTTACAACTTTACCCTCTCTTCATAATGAAGGTCTCGACCATCCTTCTATGGACCTTCGCCACTTTGGCGGCCTCCACCGAGGTCACCCACAAGGCGGTTGTGGGCACTCCTACCAACCCCGAAGGTTAGTATCTTCACCTGCAATCATAATCCCCCTTCCAAGTATCAGTGGACTAACATCCACAATAGTCACCCCTCAGCTCTCCCGGACCGCCCCCCAGAAAGACAGGTCACTAGACGTATATCCCCCCGAACAACAAAAGGCCATATTGTGGCACTTCTTCCAACATCACTTCCCCCCACCCCCAGACTGGAAACCAGAAGACCACCCAGTCCCGTGGAAGCGCGACGCAAGTCCTTCTCTGTTCAATTCCCTTGAGAAGAGAAACGCGTGTAAGCGCGGCTGCGGGGTTGATCAGCACTGCTGCTCTGGCGATTCCCGCCTGCCTAGAGTCCGTTTAGGTCCTCAGAAAGAGCCGCCCAAGGAGACAGCAAAGTCAGAGCCAGAGGCAAAGGCTGATGAGCTACGGCTTGCTGAGGTGGGGAAAGATATGAAGAAGCTGGAGGACTTGCCGAAATCTCAGGGAAAGCTTAGTGCTACCTTTGGGGGAGCGGTAGTTCCGCGTGATCACAGTGATGAGGATGATGGAAATGATGGGGAGGAAGTCACTGCCGCTAACACCCTTGAAAGGGAACTGGATGCGAGACAGAAGTGCCAAGATCGCCCATGTACAGTTAGAGGTCACTGCTGCACTGGGTATATGTGTCTGCAGCGCAAATGCGTCTTCATTCGCAAGGAAACTCGTACGCTTAGCGGTGTGGCGCATGAGGTCCAGGATAACGCTGCCCAGAAGGGAGAGAATCTACTGGATGAGTATGGGATTATTACTGGGGACAACGACACTGATGAGGATAAGGACGAGGATAAGGACGAGGATAAGGACGAGGATAAGGACGAGGATAAGGACGAGGATAAGGACGAGGATAAGGACGAGGTTAAGGACGAGGTTAAGGACAAGGATAAAGGTAAGGGCTCTTCTCCTGTAAACCTGTTGGTATCTAGGGGCCCATGCAACCGCGGGTGTAGAGTTAATCAGCATTGCTGTCCTGGTGATTCCTGCCTCTATGGGGTCTGCTTGGGCCCTCACAAGCCACCTCGTGCGTCTCGCCGCGAGATCCATGAACGCTATGGACCTGCGGATCAGACGAAAAAGTCGGAGGAGAGTGCTGTGAAAGCGGATGGGACCGCCGAAGCAGGAGGGCGGGACAAGCGATGCATCCGACACTGTCAAAAGAGCGATCACTGTTGTCGGAGCGACAAATGTGTTTCAGGTGTTTGCTTGGGTGCCGGTGTATTTTTCTGAGTTGGCGGAGTCAAAAATATGACATGGAAAACTGGAACATGGTTTGCTCTTGCTGGTGGAAGATGGCTGTTAAAGTTAGTTTCTCTAGCTTGCTGGCAAGGATATGGAATCTTCGTTTGAGTATTATCTTGGCATTTAACTTATCTCAAGACAAATTGAAGCTATTTCCCGTTTAATCTTTCCCCCTACCGCAATGATAGATGCTAAAAGCGTGGTAGAATGCAAAACTATTAGTTGACACGGGGGCTTGATGTGCGTCAATCGGGAAATAGCTACGAGGTGTATTCCCTCTAGAGGGTCCAGCATATATGAATCCCAAGATGTGCCTATATACTAGAGCACGTAGCGGCTGATATAGCAAACATCTGTTTAGCACTCTCAAAATAAACGCAGAAGAGCAAAGCACATACAACGAAGGGTTCTCCCGATCCGTCAAGTCTAACTGGTTTTTATCCACTAGGCGAGCGTGCTTTGTACCATCATTGTCCACCTCTTCAACCACGCCTGTATCTGCAACAAGAACCTCATGCTGCAGTTCATCTCGACGCTTGTTCTCCTTAGAAAGATACCATCGGAGATATGCAATGATGATTGACGGTAGAATGCAGGCGACCTGTCTGGGTAAGTAATTGAAACCTTCATAGAATGGATCGTGAACTGGTTCAAAAAGCCTACAACTAATATGATCGTCCAAGTGGGATAGTAACGGGGCTGTTGCTCCTTTCATTAGCCGAAGGGAGCGTAAATAGAGCAGACTAGATGCATACCTTCCATCGTGGCTGAAATAATTGGGGGGATAGGATATTGCCCAACCCATATCCGATGTGATACATGGCTATTACTGTGGTCTTTTTAGTATGGCCAGCCGATGCATTTGAAGCCCAGATCATGACAACTGCGTATGGAATGCCGACAGTTGAGCGGATCCATATTCCTGTGAGAAGACCCCATCGATTGGACCAAGGTAGACTAAGTAATAGGATGCTTGATATTGCTCCCGGGATATAGGCAACTAGAGAAACCCAAGCCCGACAGTTCTATTAGGTCCTTGTTAGTAGTCAACAGCTATTTCTTGGGACAAATCTTACTTTTGTCTTGGCCAACACCAACGCTGCTGATGCAAGAGAGAAAAAGCTGACTATCCCGGAGACACATCCTAGTAAGGTGGTTTGAAGCACAGTGAAGCCAAACGAGTTAATAATCAATGAGTACTGGTTTGTCATTCCATTTGCCATTTCTTGCGACCAGGCGTGTAGGAAGAACAGCCATGACTTTGGGTCTTTCAGTGCCTCGATGAATCTGGGAGCTGTGAGTTTGCGACACTAAAAAGGACAACACATCGGCCTCATACTGGTACTTCTTAAAATACTTCTGCTCGATGCCGGAGTGGTTTTGCTTTATTCTAAGGATTGCCTGTGCGCGCTCTTCTGGCGTAAGAAATCCGGCACGTAGTGGATTGTCCGGGAAGAGGAGCCACACAGCCGCTCCAAACACAACAGTCATTCCGCCCGTAATTACTATAATAAGTGAGTATTTTAGGTACTGTTTATTTGGAATGGAGGCGTCGTACCCATGAACCATTTCCACGGGGCAAACGTTCCGGTCTTTATCCACAGAACCCCATAGGAGAGCAGACCGGAAGTGATAGGGCTGGCATTTCCCACCGACCACATGATGGGCATTAAGACCGCCTGTTCCTGGTATGTGAAGAACATAGATAAGATCAACAGAAAAGCAGGGACGATTGATGCCTCTGCTACACCTAAGAAGAAACGAACGACAAACAAGGTGGCAAAGCTATTGCATGGTATGTGAAGGAGCGTAATACCTCCCCTAGAATATGAGTTAGCGCTAAATGGCTTGATGATAGATTGATTTGGCTAGGTTCGTACCACACAATGAGGTTCCCAGCCAGCCATTTGGCGACGGGGAAACGTTGAAGGGCCCAGTTCTGCGGCCACTCCGCGAGCAGGTAGCCAAAGTAGAAAATCGATGACAACCAGTTGTACTGATTCGAGCTGAGATGCGCATCATCCATAATCCCCAAAATAGCTGAATTCCCTAGCTAAAGGATATGTGAGATATTGTACGCAAATTTCAAAGGGATACGCACCGTCTGCTTGTCGACGTACATAATGTGATATCCTATGCAGAGAAATGGTAAAATTTTCCATAGACATTTATTCCTGATTGCGAAAGCTTCCTCTGGCGTAGGGTCTGTCACCGAAACCTTCGAAAAGAGTTTGTAACTCTCATCGGCATATCGCTGACTGAGCTTGGGTGGTTGAGCGACAGCGCTGACGGCGTCGACTGGGTTTGAGACGCTCGTTTTCGACATAGACGCTTTACCAACGTCTGATACCTTACCGATTGTATCTGACTGCATTCAGGACTGGGGGATGAGGTGGGTTTTGTTGCTCCGTATCCCACAGGTATACTCTAGAATGGGGCAACCCACGCCACCATATAGAGCGTTTACGGAAAGTGCCCGATATCTTAATAACTGTAAAGCCTGAATAAGGGAGAATTAAGCAATTCGAGTCAATAAGACTGTCACGTTGGTACAGCGAACAACTCGCACCATTGGCGACATATGACGCAACATTAGACGATGAATACTACAACACGGCGCCGTTATCGGCCAAAAAGCCTATTATCCCGGGAATTATGCGGCGGCCCTCAAGCCGACAAACTCGATGAGCTTCTAATTCGTAACTGGTCCTATAAGGACTATCGGAATGCGGGGATGGGGTATGTAGGGGCGAATCCCGCGCCGTCTTAACTTAGTGCCCTAATGGCGGCCTTGCATAATTCCTGCACGGCTTGCGTGCTTGTCGCTCCATCACATAATGGTTGCAGAATTCAGATATGAGCTTACACCGACAGGACAGTTGACTGCAATTTATTAGCCACGCTTCCTCTGTGTAAATCTTTAAACGGCAATCATCCCGCGTATCCTTGTCCAATCGCTTGCCGGATCCAGTATGACAGGATGTCCCAAGAAAAACTCAGGGTTATTATTGCGGGAGCTGGCATTGCCGGCCTTTCTGCGGCTATTGCGTTGAGGCGTCTCCCTTACATTGATGTTGAGTTGTTCGAGCAAGCAACCGAGCTCCGCGAAATTGGTGCTAGTATTGCCTTAAGCCCAAATGTAAGATAAAAATCGTAGAATGTGTATCGTGCCTTTGCTAATTGTATATAAGGGCCTTCGCTCTCTCGAAAAACTTGGAGTACTCAATGCTCTCGATGACGATACTGCTTTCCGCGGCCCTTCTGGGGTCCCTATGATTTACAGGTGCAGCTGCCTTTCTTCTAGCATATGAAACGCTCATTATAACTTACGAGTCATTCTAATAGACACTGGAAGACGAACGAGGTCATACACCAAGAGTACTTTGCCGACGTTCGCCTTCGCCGACACGAAACAGCCAGATTTCATCGTGGCCACTTGCATGCAGCACTACTGGAACATGTTCCGTCGGACCTTATCCATTTGGATAAAATGGTAGCCTCTGCGGATGCATCACAGCACGGGGTCACTCTTCACTTTGCCGATGGAACATCTGCAAAAGGTGATGTATTGATCGGCGCGGATGGAATCCATTCGGTATGTGTATCATCGTGACCGTGTAAAATACTAGAAAGGAGGCTACTCACAGGAGTTTAGAAAGTCAGGAAGTCATTCGTTCCCAATCACCAACTGGTTTCCACCGGTAAGGTCTTTCTGCGGTCGACATTCGACGCCTCTCTTGTAGCAGATATCCCAAACCTACCATTGGATTCCGCGCATTGGGTATGTTTGATCCGTGTCATGGATTCAGGAGCCTAGCGCTGACTAGATGGAATAGTTGGGACCAAACGAGAACTTCTTCGCCTCTCGGCTAGGTATTGACAGACAACCCCAACAATGTTAAACGCATCTGACCGAAGCACAGGCAAAGGTCAATATACAACCGTCGGCAACTTTGACGTACCTGTCAATGCAGATGGTAGGGTTAAGGATGTGCAATGGAATGCCGAGGAAAATGTCGATGTGTTACGGGAGCGATATAAGGTATTTGTGGACATTGTGCGCTCGGAATAATAAACTGACAGCTTCTTATAAAGGACTGGAACCCCGTGGTAAAGGCCTTAGTAGATGCAACCCCTTATACACGAATATACCCCAACTATGCTGGCAAGCCGCTTTCAACTTGGGTGTTCGAGTCAAGGGCGACGTTGGTTGGTGACGCAGCACATACTCATGGTGGTGCGTTCGCTGCCGGAGGCTCGTTAGCTCTTGATGACGCGTATGCGTTGTTTCTTGCATTCCAGCATGTTTTAGGATCGTCCAGAACACAAAAGCCAGAAACAGAGGAGCTCAATACATCACTGAAACTGTACGACGAGACTCGACGGCCACATACTGAAAAGCTCTTGGAAATCGTCCTCAAAGGGATCGGAGCTCAGACGACGAACACGGACTGGGAAGAAGGTTTGCTAAAAAGAGTAAGGAACAAGCCAAACATGACATGGCTTTCAGAGCATGATGTGGAGAGGACATTCCAGGGTGTTATACAGAAGGACTCTCCCGGAAGTAAGCTCTGAACCAGCAGTTGCTATTTTGTGACACTAGGGTGGCATATGTATTCAGTATGCCTCTTTTTCCGGTTTCAAGCTTAAAGCCTACTTTAGAACCTTTTTGGTTTTAAGCATTCTCGAAAGCCCGATTGTCATCTGAATAATATATTGCAATATACGTAGATTAGACGAGGATTGCTGAGAATCCGGTGATTTATACGTGACTACTGCTGTATTAATTTATGTTGTTAGGACATATATGTCCAAGGCACGACCAGGTATCAGCTGGTATTTTGGTCGAGTGGTATTGACAATTTATGATATTAAAGGTCGGAGTATTTAGTCCCACTTATCTACTATCTGACTGACCGGAAGCGAAAGCAAGGATATCCTTCATAGTAACGGGGGGGTTGGGGGGTGCTGATGTCGTATGGCTGGCAGAGATTACAGTATACAAGGAAAGCAAGTTTTGGTCTTTTAATAGTCATGATTTTCAAAGAACAAAATCGGCCCAACGATGGTGAATTGTGATTACCTCGTATACTATGCAGGTGGTCGAACCTTTGAATATAAATGCCCTTCTGTGATGTCGTCTACAGATAATCCTAGCCTATAAGAACAGGCCTTCGCGAATTTCCTCTCAAAGAAGTTGGAGGATGCCATTCCGATCTTTGCAATCGTTTTTAGCACTCAGCCTCCACATCTCCAATTGACTTCCGTTCTCCCACGCAATTGGGTCTCTCTCTGGTCATAACCCTGTCACTATGGTAACTCCTTTTCTTTAACAAAGACCTCCACTAAGAATTCCATCTCCGGAGAGTGTGTAGCGATGAGAGATGGGGACCGCCGTCCCTACCAGCGTCTCCTTTGGCAATCGCCAAAGGCTCCTCAATAGACACCCATACGAAAGGTCCAACGACTTGGGCGAGAAATATGCCAAATAGACTCTCGAAGAAACGTTTCAAAAAGCTGTCGGCTTGGAAGATTTCGCAAAGATCGAAGCGGAAATTATCTTGCGCGGCCCAATTGATCTGATAGACAATGAACCAACAGATGTGATCCGTTGGTCAGCACACACACGAGACGCATAATGAGCTGCACAGGACACGATCCTTACTGCAAGGAACAAAGCACGTACTGTCCATGATAGGTATAGTGAGATGAATCGGATAGCCTGGGGCATAATATCCCCAGAGAACCGTAACGATATCCGAATAAGCAACTGTATTCCCTGGATGACAGGTGGAGGCAATGAACGACAACACTCCTGTGGCTTTGTCTGTGCCCGGAACTCATTCAACGAGATACCGCATGGTGCGATTTCTAACAACAGTTTCGGGAGGTGGCCTTAGTTCAAAATCGCAAGGACCACTTTTAGACCCCCGACGATTTACAACAGCGATGGAGGATTCAAAGGGTTGAGGATCTAGCTAATGAGAATGCGGTACTAGATGATCTCTGTTGGTATGTCTATCTGTAGCTCTCTTTCTCCTAACCCACACTAACGCCCCTTTAGCTACTTCCGGAATTTTCGCGACGAAAGCAAGACAGAACCAGGCTTCGGTAGAACAAGTTCTTATACGTTGATTCGGCTGCTACTGAATCATCTCACGGCCATTGCCCCCTCCCAAGGATTCACTAATCTACAAGATGGAGCCAAATTCCGCTTTTCACGCGACATCAACTGGCGGGGGTTTTTTTTAGTTGTCTTTCTTACTCCTGGTGGTATTGAGCGAAATAACGCTTTTTTGGCCTGGTAGATTGAGTGGTTAGACTTGTAAACCCTTATCTAATAGTACAATGGAAGCCCTAAGTGCGCGTCCGCTGAGCAGGAACATGACGTTTGTTGCCTTATGCTTGTGCCCTCTACTTAAAATCAGGCCTTCGAAGACTACTGGTTATCTCTGTCCAATTAAATATAATGGTTTCGTTGGGAGCCAGACGCGGTGATGGTGAACCTGCAGGGTTGATGGCATCATACCATGCCTCAATGTCACGATCCGAGATCGCTAGAGGCACCCCAATGCTGACCACCACGTAGTTAGTTCGACAATTCGACTACATTTGCTATATAAATTCTGCGCGTCTCAATATCTATTTAAGCGAAGTGCACTATTATCGTCGATCTCCGATGCTCGCCAATCGGGAATCCATGTACTACTCCGGCATCATAAAATGATGCAAGCGCTTGCCAAGGACATGAATGGCTCTAGCGTGGGCTAGATTGCTATCAATGAGGAGTAACTTCATCTCAGGTAGTATTGATCTGGAGAATATATAACTGTATATTCAATTACTAGGACATTCACTTGTACATAGTCCTATAGAATTCATATACCTCAATTCTATCTTTTCAGGATGCCTATTGTTCATCTCCCCATAACAACGAAAACGGCCAGCGAGACAGTCTCATCGTTACCAAATGAGTCTGACTCGTCGAGTGATCGTGAAACTCTGCCCTTAGCTGAACCAACAAGTAGGCGTAAGTTTTGGATTCAAAAGGGGACGAAGTATGACCCAGCTGCCATTGCAACCCAGCCATCCGTGTATGATAACCCAGACATCGCCAAGGAATATCAACCAAGAGAGGATTGGGAGAACCTGCACCGGTTTGACCCTTCCGCAAGATGGACCTGGGGTGAGGAAAACCGGTTAATTCGCAAGATCGATCTCCGGATCATGGTATTTACCGCCATCATGTTCATGGCTCTGGAGCTGGATCGGGCAAACCTTCAGCAAGCCTTGACAGACAACTTTCTTGATGACTTGAACCTCACTACCAATGGTAAGCTGGTCATACTACAATGAGCTCTTGAGAACAATCTAACCTTATGAGTAGATTACAACCTGGGAAATACTGTATTCAAGCTCTCTTTCCTCTGTGCAGAGCTTCCCTCTCAACTCCTCAGCAAGTGGATGGGACCGGACAGGTGGATTCCCATGCAAATGACACTGTGGTCAGCGGTGGGTATGGCCCAGTATGGCCTCAGTGGAAGGTCATCCTTCCTTGCCTGTCGGGCCCTTCTCGCAATCCTCCAGGGAGGGTTTATTCCCGATGTAAGTTATACGACAATAATACATTTTTATCATACTTACTCAAGTGTGTAGATAATTCTATACTTGTCTTACTTCTACAAGTCCCATGAACTTTCCGTCAGGCTGGGCTTCTTCTGGACAGCCATGAACCTAGCAGACATTCTCGCAAGCTTCCTCGCCTTCGGACTACTGCACCTCCGGGGCATCCAAGGCCAGGCCGGCTGGCGATGGCTCTTCCTCATCGAGGTAGAAAATCCACCACCAACATATCTACATCCCAACTAATCAAGCTAAAAGGGCCTCCTAACCCTAATAATCGGCCTGGCCGCTTTCATCCTCATGCCCCCAGGTCCCTGCCAAACCGCCAATTGGGCTCGAGGCAAGTCAGGCTGGTTCACCCCACGGTAACGCTCCACCTCCCCCAACTCCTATCCACACCCCTAACCCACCCCAGCGAAGAAACAATAATGGTCAACCGAGTCATCCGCGATGACCCAAGCAAAGGCACAATGCACAACCGCGAACCCATAACCCCCAATCTCCTCTGGAAAAGCCTCTGCGACTTCGACCTCTGGCCCCTCTATGCCCTCGGCGTCACCTTCCTCACTCCCATAACCCCCCCGCACCAATACCTCACCCTCACCCTTCGCGGAATGGGCTTCAATACCTTCGTCACAAACCTTCTCGCCATCCCAAGTCAAGTAGCCCAGATCTTCACAATGCTAACCCTGACCTACGTCTCTGAGTGGATTACCCAGTTAACCTGGTCCGCCATGATCCCGCAGATCTGGGCTCTGCCCTTCGTCATATACCTCTATGCTGTCGATATAAATAATATTAATAAGTGGGTGGCATGGGCGATTATGACGGTGTTCTTGTCCGTTCCATCTTGTGGGTTTATATCTATCCCTCACTCACCCTTTCTTCAACTCTCAAGTTGAACTCGACAACCCTAACAGCCTGAACCCATCTAATGAATAATAATCAAAAATACTAGCCCACCCAATCCAAGTCGCCTGGATCTCCCGGAACTCCAACACTGTCCGCTCTCGAACCGTCTCAGCAGCCGTATACAATATGTGCGTGCAGACTTCGGGGATTATATCCTCGAATATTTACCGTGCTGGTATGTTCCCTATGTTCCTTTCCTTTCCTTTCTATCCTTGCTTGCTTGTTTGGTTGGTTGGTTAGCGGTTAGGGTATGGTATAGATTGACTAGGGCTGACAGGCGTGGTAGATGACGCGCCCCGGTATAAGCGGGGGAATCGGGTTCTGGTTGCGTTGGTAGGCATGAATATTTTTCTGTATTGTTTTACGAAGGGGTATTATGTTTTAAGAAATAGATGGAGGGATCGGAGGTGGGGGGGTATGTCGGCGGAGGAGAGGGTGAGATATTTAGTCACGACGAAGGACGAGGGGAATAAGCGGTTGGATTTTAGGTTTGCGCATTAGGTTCTTGGGGATTTATGAAGAGATTTATGAAGTTGGGATTACAACTAGGGTAGATGGTTGTAGAGGTGAGGTGGTTGTTGAGGAGGCTGTGGGGGATGTTCTGGATGAGGTAGAGTTATGAAGTATGGAGTTCACTTGACTATCGTGATGAGTAGATGAGTTATACTGTGAGTGTACCCATACTGTTTAACCTTTTATGATTAACAGTAATGCATTAAACCCTCTACAGAAGATGTTAGAAGCTATAGTTGGTGTTTTCCTGGGCGCAACAAACACCTTATACAAAGTAAGGCATTGCTATACCCCATCATTGGATACAACATTCCCACTATCCAAGCTTATCCCAAATTATACAGCTCCAGGTATGTGATAATGAAGACAAGCAGCCGACCCTCATGATGCTATCCCCCGTGCATCTGATGTGATCAATCGCCAAGCACTCGCTTACAACACTCTCTGACATCTAACGCTGTCGCCGACATCGCAACAATAATCTAGGCTGCTTATACTTTGTCTAAAATCTCGCTTATGTGGCATATGATATTTAGAACGTATTATTGGCGGTGTCGCTGGCATTCATGTGGCGGTTGCGTTACCGGTGCGTCAAATGACCCCATCGCAGCGAGATATAGGGCCGTGCATACAGAGGAGTATACACTTCAGGCTATACAACCCTGCGAGTAGCATGAGATGGCGAGATATGGCATGATGCTTGGACAACATTGCGAATTGTACATCTATCGGTTACTATTCTTATCAGTTGTTTCTCGCAATCTTAATGGTTCTTTGTGCCGTGGTTTATGGGTGGAGATGCGGGGCATGGGAGTGCGGCACTATTGCGTTAAGAGTATCATTTTACGATACAAGGTATAAATAGAAGTTGTTGTGGCCTCTGTCGCAGGTCAGCAGATCTTGATACTGTAATTTGAACAAAACATAGTACAAAAACCTCGTCCAATGGCTCCCTCTATCGCCGACAGCACCGCTACTCCCGTGGTCCCACTCGTGGAAGGAGATGTCTCGACCGCAAAGTCCCTTCAGAAGGAACCCTTGAAGTTTAGCGGGTCTCTGAACTCCTTTGATTCCTTTGACGTTACTCCCGTTATCGGTCGGGAGTTCCCCACGGCCAGTTTGAAGGAGTGGCTGCGCGCTCCCAATTCTGATGAGTTGCTTCGCGATCTTGCTATCACCAGTACGTGTCTCTTGCAAGCTGTGTTAATACCTTGACAGCTAGCTAAGTGTCCATAGTTTCCCAACGGGGTGTCGTCTTTTTCCGCAAACAGGACGGGTTAGATGATGAGCTGCAAAAAGAACTGATCCAGCGACTGGGTCTCCTCGCCGGCAAGCCCAGTACATCTGGCCTCCACGTGCATCCCGTTCATAACTCGCAACGCGAGCACAGTGTCAAAGATGACGAGATCAGTGTCATCACCTCTGAGCATCACGAAAAGCTGTACAAGGGGCGCCTGCAGCAGAAGAAGCAGAGCGCTCGAAGAGAATGGCATAGCGATATCACCTTTGAGCCGATTCCCAGTGACTACACTGTGCTGCGATTGACGCAGCTTCCCGAGTCTGGTGGAGGTGAGTCCCTCGTTCTAAGTGCCCGACACTGTACATATGTTAACCTACAGTGTAGACACACTCTGGGCATCTGGATATGAAGTATATGATCGCATTTCCAAGCCATACCAGCAGTTCCTGGAGGGCTTGACTGCAACATATGCCCAGCCCGGGTTCAATAAGATTGCCAAAGAGAATGACTTCGAGATCTTTACCGGACCTCGGGGTGCCCCGGAGAATGTTGGAGATGAGTTGAAGGCCATCCATCCTGTTATCCGGACGAATCCGGTGACCGGGTGGAAGAGTGTCTTTGCTGTCGGGGCTCATGTTGCCAAGATCAATGATCTGACTGACGAGGAAAGCGAGCATTTGTTGAGATGGTTCGTCACTTTGATCGTTGAGAACCATGATCTACAGGTTCGTCTGAGATGGCAGAACCCCAATGACTTGGGTAAGTTGTGTTCCCTTTCTTTACATTGTAATGTACCTGGAAGAAAGTCGCGTCTAATGCAATGTCGTTGTACAGCTATCTGGGACAATCGCAGCGTGTACCACGCCGCGACGTTCGATTACAAAGGTCTAGGTCCGCGGACGGGTCACCGTGTTGTTGGTCTCGGGGAGCGGCCCTACTTCGATCCAAAGAGTACAAGTCGGCGCGAGGCCTTGGAGAAGGAGGCCTAGATACTTAATGGGGGGGCGCAATATAGTGTAATCATTGCACAATCGCCTTCTATCTCATATAATAGCTTAAAGAAGAATACTACCGATATATAAATATCATCGTTGCAAATAAAAAATTACGGAACAAGCACTTTTCACATATCGTGATAGATTGTTGTATCATGTAGGGAGAGCCTCCCTCACCCTGAACATTTCGATACGTCAATTGAAGGTGAAAGAAAGCGATAGTTCTCTGAAGCATGAGTTAGAAAGCCTGTATTCAGGGCAGAGACTTCGCCTCCAACTTAGTGTCCTTGTTCGCACCGCCTATCACTATTGAATGAGAGATTCCGCACACATCACGTCCACAAGATACGCTGTCACTTGAATATGACTGTTGGTCAAAGCAGGTACCATGCCCACATCCGCCACTTGCAGGCCTCCAGCACCATGGACTTGAAATGAGCCATCCGCAGAGAAGAGGCTTTCGCCCTGTATGCACTGATTGATTTCGATTGCTGTGCATATTGACCTTACACCTGTTGTTCTCCTAAACAAGTTTCCGTCTGATTGGGAACGCGATGCTAGAACCATCATGAGCTGGTATTGCTAGTCACCACGCGAAGAGTAGCTGCCGAAGTAGACCTGTCCATTCCCATATGCGTATCGCGGATGTCCGGACCATCGTCGACTGTATTGAGAACGAGCACGGGTACTTGCCTTAACAGATCAAAAGCTTTATTTATCATCAAGAAACGTTACATGAGTGATGCAGGACAAGAGACCATGCTTTTATCCTCGGTGGAGAATCAACTGTTCCACATTAGGCTAGTGATTCGAGAATCGGGGTCTGGGACTATCTGCCTGAGGCTGCAATAGATATTGTGTGTTTGTCACGATGATAAGCCGCGAAATGTTTTGAAAAAAGTTCATTCATGTTCGATGGATTTTATATCTGTACATAGTATGATATAGTTCAACATATTCATGCCATGGTGTACAATGAGGTCAGTAGACTTCTAGCCCAGAAACCTATCCTCCGCTTGGTGCCTTGACATGCCTTAATAGCTATTCAGTGCCAGTAAACACTATCCTCACAACTTTTCAACCCGACCCAACAGCCATTGCAGATGGCGGTACGACACCCTGGGCTGGTACTGAGGCTGCATATGTCCAGACTGGTAAGTTTCAGCCCACATGAGACCGCGCTCGTAGTGTTGAACACCCATAATTCCCTGGCCCTCCTCCATGGAATATCCGTTATTTTCAAAGACCTCGCCCCACGCAAGATCCGGCAGGGTAATATTGATCGGGGTGGTAGGCTCGGACTGGAACCCGAGCTGGCCATTCCACGTCATGTTCTGAATCGCCAGCAGCGTTCCGTTCGTGATGATGATCATGTCGAAGTCTCCGTTGCTGACAAGGACACGGTTCGTCCCCTCAATCACCTGCGGCAATACGTGCTCGATGGGGTTGGCAGAGATGTCACCCTCATCCTCTGGGCCGCCTTCGCCAACGTAGACGTTTTCGTTTGAGCACCCGGACCAAGTAACGTTTAATGGGGCGTGCATGGCGCGCTTGACATCCGCGCGGTCGAAATACACAGTGGCACCTGCGGATTTGTAGTTGAACGCTGTGGGCATGGCGAGAACGTCATAAAGGAGCGGGCACATCTGGTTGATCTCGTAGATATCAAAGCAGGAGTTACCCACTAAGGCTTCATCACTGATTAAGTTGAAAACATCACAGTCTCTTTCGCTCGTAGAGTTAAAGGACTTTTGAGGCTGTACGCCAGCCGGTGGGAAGACGAGGTACTCATCCACATATTCTTTATAGCCACATGATTGATGAAGGCCCTCCAACTCCGTCATGAAGCTGGAGTTGAAGTTGAAGAGATTTGTGTTCTGCTGCACAAATGGAACGGCGACGGCCTCTTCCTGGATATAGTCATGCTGGCCAATGCAAGGGTCGTACATCAGAGCCCCTGTATAAGCAATGGTTAGATTAAACTGCTTGCGCGAGAAGCTAGATTACTTACCCTTCAAGTCATAGGACTCCGTGTCGTTTTTATTAAGCATAGCGGCAGAGATATAGGGGACATAGCGACCTGCGTAACTTTCGCCAGTGACATAGATCTTAAAGTTCTTGATTCCAAAGATCTCCTGGAAATTCTTGAAAAACTTTACAAAGTCTTCAGCGGTCTCCTCCTGAGAGACGGCCGTGGGCTTGCCGATAGCGAAGCCTGTTCCAACTGGCTGCTCGACCCTATTGAAAAGTATTTATTACTCAACCACCCAATAATTTGAAGGTAGAACGAGCATACCAAAGTACATTAGTCAGGTTCACCCAAGAATATGGGTTCTCGACCGGGGCGAAGGTCCCCGGCTGCCAAAGGAACCTGCCATTCTCCTGGAAGAACCCTTCGAGGGAGCTACATCCGGGTCCTCCATTGAGCCAGATAGTAATTTCATCTACCGGCTCCCCGACTGTTGGCTGGAACACAAAGAAGAGGGCCCTCGAATCGTCACCCTTGTCGATAGGTACCAAGCCAGAATACATCTCACCGATATCGAAAGGGACATCAGGTAGGCTCTTTACACGGTAGGCTAATTGGAATTCAGTATCGGTGGCCGCCTCTTTGCCCGTGTAGGAGGTGCCTCAACATACGCTTTGTTGTTTTGGTCAGAAATTGAAATTTATCAGTCCCATTCTTTGGCGCAGTTCTCGGACGTTCTGCCGATCGTTTGGCCAGGTTCAAAGAATCGCGGGCCCTTTGGCCAAACGGACCATGTTTAGCTGCGGCATTGTCCGCACATAGCGAGATTGCGAGGACCGCCGTTGACACGATATTCTTCAACAGCATCTTCAATTCGGAAAATTAGACGCGAAAACTTCTAAGCTCAGCCCGCTCCCCAATCTGCCGATCGGGGGATTTAAAGGATTTTCGAAAGTCTACCACATAATCAGCACATGGCATATACGGTGAGGGGTTTTGCAGCAGCGAGTGGGTCGGTTGGCTTACCCGGAGCGGGCCATGGACATGGAGATTAAGAGGGTTTCCAATGATACGGCCGCTGTTATCTCTCAGGGATATGGAGATACAGAATCTTATGATTGACGGCTACAGCGGCAGACTTGGTCCACATTTTTGCATATGTGGAAGCTCAACCTTTTCCCAGAGTATTCGTTCCGGAAGCGATTTATAGAGTCACGATGTCGCTGTTGTGAAATCTACCAGTCTGGGGAACAGTTCGACTGGAGAAAAAGTCACTGATTAGTCAAAGCTTGGTATTTGAACACTAAACACTGATAAGAATGAAGTAAATAGATTACTAGACTTGTTTTGGGAACGGAAGGTGAAGCTCCGACGGACTTCCGAGCGGCTTAACCCGCCTATTCAATAGCATTGGTGAGGTTTTTCATACTAAGGGTTTTCTCTGTGCTGTATTTAGCTCGTATTTCCCTCTATTTTACCCGTAGAAAATATTCACTCACAGTAAGATTTCCTTCAATCAGCCTTTTGACCAGGGCCCTTTCTTTCAATCGCTCTTCGTGGGAGTATCTTTCCTCCATTATGTACCAGTATCGAAGTGTTCGTCAGGCCCATGACCCTCAGGGTCATCCCATAAATTAACACTGGGCTTTCTATATACAATGTCGTTCCTAAAACCAGCAGAAAACTAGTATATCCGGAGGTTTATAAAAAAAAAAAAATACAAACACGCAAAAATTATATATGACCGAAAAGTAGGCCGAACCAATTGGAGAGGAATTTAAGCTCCAGTGACCATAAAAGCAATCAAGCCGCCCCAGAGACCAGCAAACCCTATAGTCAAGATGCTTGCACCAGCTTTGTCTCCCGTTGTGATGGGCTTTGCCTTGCTCTTGTCGGAGCTACTACCATCGTTATTCCCCGCGTTCGGATCGCTAGTACTCGTCCCACCAGTCGACGAGGTCAAGGGGCCGCTCCCTTTCTTTTCGGTGACCAAGACCGAGCTCAGCACGTCGGTCACACTAATCTGCTCCTCCATACCAACCCAGCCGTCCCATTTCGATTCGTGCCAGCGCACCCCGCATGTGTTATTGTCCATGCCACTGCACGACGCGGCCGCTCCTTGGGCGGACGCTTGCAGCTTGGGGAGGATTTGATCGTAGGTCGACGGGACCAGCAAGGCGACAAAGGCAAGCCATCCGGTGACAAGGCCTTTGAACAAAATTTCGTTGTCATTGCAAACCTCGTTGGGTTCGCAGAGAATCTCGGACATGATGTAATTAAAGTCTTTGGGGAAGAATGTATTTAGAGTAACGCCAAGGAGACCGTCCACAGCAGTCTTCCATTTCTCCTTTTGTGTCTATATTACGGCTGTTAGCTTCGGATACCCAGAGGGCAGTCCTGCAAACACTCCCGGGCGGGGGGGGCGCCGGTTTTCAGGACTTGGCGTATGGGAACTTACCATGTTGTACATGTACGCCGCACCGATTAGGTATGTGCCATAGTTATACGACCATTGGTTGTTTCCCTGGGATGTGCATCCGCCGGCGATATCAGTGGAGTCGGCAACGTTCCATGTCGTAGTATTCAGCAGCGGCGAAGATGCGCTCCAATCCCAAACCTTTTCCGCCCAATCCGTGTACGTCTGGTTGTTCGTGTATCGAGCAAGACGTGCGGCCAGCTGGAACAATAGACCGTTTGAGATCGCGTTTTTCATGGCATAGCCAGCTTGGTAGGGGAAGATCTGCCAGCGTAGTCCACCGCCACAGTCAGCACTATCCCATCGGGCCGCTTGTGCGTTGAATACGCCCTGGGCAAGCGACAACCAAGAGTATCCGTTTTCCACGTCGGGGAATTTGGTCTCGGCGGCTGTCATGGCGGCAATCCCCCAAAAGGCTTGGTCGTCATTACCCTACACTAACGGTCAGAAGAGCCCGATTCGGCGGAGTTGATTGACCATACCAAGTAACTACTATAGTTGGCTGGCATATAATCTCCGTTCCCAGCCTGCCACTCCATGCCCTGGCTGACCTCCGAATTATAAGTGGTATCGCCTGTATAATGCCAGTAGTATAGCAGGCTTAAGAACAGGGCGCTGCCTTCCCACCACTTGTCCGGAAATGCCCCTGGAATCTGACCCGTCTCATTCCCTTTGTACCATAACATCGAACCATGGGCGCTCTGGCTGGCTGCAGTTTTAATGGATTCTACAATTTAAAGGAACCGTCAGCATAACTTGCGCCTAGTGGTGTCCCTCTATGATCCTTCCAAGTGACGTACCAGGATCATTAATGTCGATGTCAAGCGCCGGCACCGTATGTACGATCCCGGCGAGGAAGAGAACGATCGATTGAAGCAGCCCGCCGCGGGGCAAGCGCATCTTCAAGAAAGTCCGGATAAGCAGCGCGACAACAACCCAACAGGACTCAAAATTTTGAAGGTGATGCGAAAATGCCGTAGTCCGGCGATCACTAGGTGGGAAGGATTTGGGGAAATAACATGAGCTCCAGCAGACCGGAGCAAAAAGCCGGCAATATCGGCACCGTTTCTTTTATTAGCGACCTCCCAATCAGGGCCGTGCGAAAGGCTTGGTGCGGTTAAACCTCGCGGGTTGGGAGGCCTGCGGCGATTCCCCCCCTCCCCTGGTAATCTAGCGACATAATTAATGGGATTGCGCGTCGGCCCAAACCCCAGAGAGTATGGTGAAACCCGTTCGGATCAATCACCGGGACTCAAGAGGAGACCAGGCACCAACGAAAACCCATCTCTCGTACGTATACAGTGGAGCTGAGGGAGCCAATCCTCTCGGTTCTCTGCGGTAGTGCCCGACCAAGCTTTTGCCCAGACGACGCGGCGCGAAGACAAGACTCGGGAGCGGATCATTGAAACTCTGCTGATCGGTCAGTGAAGATTACTCACTTACGCCAACCTGCTGTGGCCCCTAAACGTAATTTATTGACATGTCAAGAGTGTTCGTGTTGGGGACTGGAAAAGGAAAACGTCTAAGTGAGGTGACAAACAATGGATGTTCAACCCACGTGACATAACCCCTGACTGTCAGTTTCCACATTTCCACCTTCGGAAGACTATCCGCTTCGCCAAAAGGTCATTGCATGTACCTTTGCGTCTACAGCTGTCGCGCATACCAAGCAACGAGAACTTGTGTGCGGCGTACCCCAACGGACGGGGGTCTGCCTCCATTTACGAACTCGCGACTGCGATCAATTCTTATTGTTCACCCGCAGAGAGTTGCAGTGACGAGGCCCGCCCGAAGCAGCTTTATTGCTCCGACATAAAGCCTCCTTCACACAGCCCCGCTGGCTGATGCAATGTTCCTGGGCTATTTATCGTCGTCCGTAAAGCTTCGAAGGAGGGACGTTTGACCTGGCCATGTCCAGTCGTATCGTAGATGAGATAGAGGGGCGGTATTTACAGTGAAGAGGGCTGAAAACGTTGGGAGGCGGTTCCACACAACTGTCGGATCGAACTAAAGGGATGATTGAATGTGATCCATATTTGTGTGTTTAAACTAGTAGCTACCAAATTAGAGCTAGGCTGGGAAGGTTTTGGGACGTGCGCACGTTTGGAGAATACAACATTTGAAAAGGAGAGTCGGCGGCGAAGAACAAATCACAGTGGGAGACCCGATCGACCAAGGGTGCACCACCCAGACACAGATATTTACATTTTTATAGAACTTTCGTACTATTGTAGAAAAATAATATAATTCCATTATCTTCGCCCTCGCTTCCTTCTCACATATTCACCAAATAGTGTGAGCACTTTGGTAAATGCATAGTAGTTGATTTGAAATGCCGTATCCATGAATAGTCTTTCCTACTTAAAATGCATACATTGGATAACTTGCTCATTAACATCATTGTCGACGATCGCTACAGTAAGTGCTGTTGCTCAGCTATTACGCCCATCGGAAACGACATCAACGAATGCAGTTGGGCATTTTGCAAATCTTCAACGAGACTATTTATCTTGACGGTTTCCTTTTCAAACGCACCCTCAAAGTACCACAAATCTTCAAAAAGAACGAAAGTCAAGTAGAAATGCGCCAGAATGGTGTATGAAAGAGCCTCACCTAATCCCGCATTGATACCGGACTGAAGGAAGAAGACGAATTCCTTAGACAATAAATGTGGCCAGGAAGTCACGGCAGCATCTTCTAGGTCTCCCTGGACATCTATCGGGACAGGGCAATCCTGCTCAGTGACAGGATGAAAATCATGTGGACCGGCTTTGTCAGAATGCCTGAAATCTGTTTTTTCATATTCTCCCGGTTGTACACACGTTTGTAACATAGAATGTGCGCCTGCCAGAGCGAGGAGCAAATGCATTAGATACTCCTCCTTCAAAGCCAAATCTGGAATGACGCGTTGCCAGACTAGCTTTCTCTTCGGATGAAAGCTCATCTTGCCTGACGTATGCATCAGAAAATGTTGCAGCAGTCTCATATCACTCGTATTGGGAGTGCTGGTCCCTGAAGATGCCAAGTTGGTCCACGACTCAGGGGCGTTAAATTCCAACGGGTGAAATACATCCTCTCTACCCTCCCCCTTCCGCCCTGGACGACTAGAATAGTCGTTCCCGTACACTGATCTGAGAACTCGAAGACTGGTATCGTCAGCCTGCTGTGCTCTCCTGGGTGCCTTATATCCAATTTTTCTCCGAGAAGAAAGGGAGCGCGAGGGCATAGGAAACGAGCAGTCGTTTCCCCTGAGTGAGCACGCTCCACATACAGGTCGCACTTCATCGCACTATATGCAATCAATAACCTCTGCATCCATGTGCAAAGATATCACATTCTATGCTAACCTTTACCCTTCGAAGTTTATACGTGTAGCAACCGGTGCGTGACTTGGTGTGGGATGCCCGCGTCCGTGCTCGGCCATGGGACTCGGAAGTGTCCTCCCGCGAGCCAAATCCTGGCAACTGAGGGTGAAACATAGGTCATTAAATTAAACTGCTCTCTCTTATTTGGTTATAAATTTCTAATCTTCAAGAATGGAAAACCCTTGGGTGGTGAGCCATGAAGTGCGTTTGTAGGGCGGACGGGATGTTCCGATGAAAGGCGGACCGAACTGATGTTTCGGTCCAACATTAATTGGGACATTGACCAATTTCTTGGGTACAGGCTATCCGGGAACCAGTGTCAGATGGCTGAAGCTGTGGCTGTAGCAAGCGTACCATCGTCAGAATTTGTTCTAACCTGCGCTTATTCAGTAGTATCAAAACGCCACCGGTCATATGTGGATGACCCAAAAGTATAACACCAATTATGCTGGAAGCCATTTGTGATTATCTACTTGAGAAGCCTGATCTATATCTAGATGAAATGGAACTTTTTCTACTAGATAAGTTCGAAATATATATACCAAAATCTACTATTTGCAACGCCCTTCATCGACAGGGATGGTCGAAGAAAGCAGCCTGACAAAGAGCAAAAGAGCGAAATGTAAATTTACATGATGAATACACTCATGAATTCTAAGAGTTTTGTTCATACTACCACCTAGTTTATGTGGATGAATCTAGGTGTGATAAACGGATAGGCTTTAGACGAACCAGGTAGTCCCCTTAGTACAGCACTAGTCCAAGTATCTAAATTCCATAGTGATCAATGATATCAGATACTGCCTGTATTTGCCCAAGATGGTATTGGTTTTCCCTGTGTCTTTCAAGGTTCAACAGATGCTTTTGTCTTTGAGAATTTTATTGAAGAGCTTATCCAGCATTGTGGAAGATGGCCTGAACCAAAGTCTGTACTAGTTATAGATAGCGCATCTTTTCATCACTCCAAACGGCTAGAGCAAAATTGTTCACAGGCAGAAGTGAAACTAGCATATTTGCCTCCATACTCCCTAGATTTGAACCCATTAAGGAGTTCTTTGCGGAATTGAAAGCTTTTATTCAGAGGCATTGGCAATCATATAAATATAACCCCGACCAAGGATTTGATTCCTTCCTTGAGTGGTGTGTTGATACTGTCAGTGAAAGGGAACAAAGTGCGAAAGGGCATTTCCGGAACTTAGGTTTAAGCATCGAAAAGATACAGTAGTGCTTGTGGAGATATTCTTATTCTCAGCAAAGAAGGAATGTTTACAAATAGTAATATGTGATATTTGCCTAATCTTACGCGGTATTATAAAGTACAGACAATGTCTTATCCAAAGTTTAAGTTATAATGCTTCCTGTCTGAAATTTCTTATCTTGAGAGGGCTTTTGACATTCATGCTGCTCTGGGTAATAGCCTCAAGTACCGAAATAATGGCAGGAGTTTTATTTACCAGTTTATTTGACTCAACATTTTTTATCTGTTTGGTTATTTATAGAAGAGGATTTCTTGTCATCGCGGTTGTCTTAGCTAATGGATTGCATGACTGTTCAAGATGTGAGAAGGCTTCTCTTATTACTAATAATTACTCCCAGTCAACCCTGTGACTGTGTAGATATCACGAGATTGGCCTTATGCATCCGTTTAAACGTTGGATGTGTTCCCTTCACGTACCCATTCCTTCAGGATCCGATCCTATTGAATATCTTCCCCGTGAGACCAAGTGCAGAACGGGTGTGTTCCTTTCGGGCCCACAGCTCCTTTAGCTGGCGGTCTGCTGCATTGTTCCCAGGGTTGTCACCAATGCTTTGGAATCCACTGATGATAAAGGGGTATCCCTCATGCTTTGATTTCTCTCACAGCTTGTAAAATAGCATAGATATTTGCTCACCCGATCTATTGAAAGGGTGCCCAATCGCCTGCAGTGCTGACATGCTATCGCAAAGAATTGTTGCCTGTCTTTATGACTATACGGGTAGAATATAATCACTTTATAGCTAAAACAGACCGTTAGCTATCCGGGACGGATTCACAGGCTGGGCTTTTACCCGTGTTAGATGCATATTGACATTATCCAAGGTGACTTGGGTGGCCCAGCGAGAATGAATGTCTCATTTAAGTCATAGCTACTGCATAAAATTGAACAGTAATGGTCGGTTTTATTCATATATATATATTTAATGGTCCGTAAAATAAGTCAAATATCATACAATTTGACTGTTACTGTAGAAATTACGGGTGTCTTGAGATAGATAATATAAATAGCTGGCTTGCTACAACTGTTCACATAACCTTCTTCATGTTTGTATTGGAGATTATTAATTATTACAAAATCACAGCCTTTGCATTCACCTACGGTATAGGAAAAACCTAACAATATTAGGAAAAGAAAAACCAATACCGAGACTGAGGCAAAAAAACAGAAACTGGCTAGCTAAATTAGATGGAACATAGCTGTATATAACCTATCATCTCGGCCTATAATTCTCTCCAGGATTTATTTATGCTAGAAGTCTTCTTCCTCAGATTCACATTTAAAGAGATTGGGAGGGTGATACTGTTTTGGAACCGGATTAGATACTCTAACCTTAGTGAGTGAGCATTTAACTTACCCCGTTTCTCAGGCACTATGTATATGTTAGAGATCTGGGCAGGTGGTTAACGGATTGGAAGTTCTTACCCAAGGTGGATTATATTCCCCCTCTCCACTCGGGCACCAATCTGGATTACGCACGCAGGTTGGTCTATCATAGATCTCATAGTGTGCCCGAGCAGAAACAGCCCCGCAGAGTGCAATAAAAGAAACGATAGATTGAATCTTCATTGTTGTTCAAATGGAATATCCTTGGTGTATAATAAAGGTTTAAAGAGGGCTTTAAGATAATGGGGTTTTTATCGAGTGTCCGGAGCGTGAAGATAATCTTTATACACTTGCCTCTGCCTACACCTGCTAGTATTTGGCTGTAACCAGCAATAACTATAGACTATTACGCTCCTCTTCCGTAGCGGTTCCTTCATTGACTATATTATAAAGCTTTTTTGTATAATTTGTGGCTGGCTGACATGATTGGCTTCAAGGTGATACAATACGTCAGCTAGCAGAATAATGAAACCTATCAGGTGCTTCCGCTAACCAAATCTATACCACCTTCACGTATAGATCGTGTCGTTAAGACATTGGTTGCATGAAGAAACTATGTCTTACTACTCTAGGGCGCCTCATTCGTTTCGTAATGACTAGCGGGATATATTTGAATTCTAGAGTAAGTCATAAACTTTGTTCGAGAATAGTCCATAATGGGAATTACTCTTTTCCTAGAACAGGTAAAGATAAGATCAACTGAACTGTCACAGTAATGGAGGGCACTAATTGCAGAGAACAGTAGTGTATGATGTCATGACTTGACATTCTTTGTATTCAAGTTTCATTCTTGGGTTAGGATTTGGGTGGAGCTGGATTCCGCTGAAGTTTATTAAGTTGACTCGTTGCTGTTTTTATAGCCTCTTTATAGACCTTTCTATTGCCAGCGCAATAACTACCTCGCTCAGATAGGTATTTTAGCAGATGATAAAAGTGATTTTCTTAGATAGATCCATCTATATTTAGGAGAATACCTTCCAGCAACGTATAATCCATGATGCCTTCAAAAAAGGGGGTATCTATCCTTTTAATTCAGAGGTGGTGATACAGCCACTAAAAGATGCTAAAGATCCCACCCCTAGAACTTGAAATATACACTACACCACCCTCTCCATCAAGTTCTTTACCCTATAAATTGTTGAGACAGGTAGATCTGCCTTCCATATCGCTTTCGCGATGATTGAAAGCTAGATATAGTGACTTTCGGGTATCAAGAATACTATACCTTAATATTTCTGTATAATTTGAATTATGTGTGGTTGAGAAGCGTCATTTTAGTTTGTAGTGCATTACCTCGAAATCGTGCGGCAGGCGGTAACATGCGGTAGGTGGTGACCCACGTTAAGAGCTCTCTTGTCTTTTATTCCAACTTCTAAGACGAAACATTATATTGTGTGTTGGCTGGGATTCCGGTTAGCTGTTCTGATTGGGCCGGTCAGTTGGATGATCTGGCCGGCACGCTGAAATGTCCCATAATGAGCTTTAGCGCTCAAGATAGTTTAGACAGGCATCAATAAGATCATGATTTTTAGGGAGATGGGCTCCAGATAGCCCCACAAGATTATGTCTCAGTTGATAAGTGTGCACAGTGTTCGTATTCTAGTGTTCTCGTATTCTCTCCAGGCCACAGAGAATTTGCCTTTTAACTCAGCCCTATGCCTTTATTTACTAATTTAGGGACCCCCATCCGACCCAAACATATATGAACCTCTATGTCAGTAGCGCCAGGCTTGGCAATCATCTGGGGCTGTCGATCGAGACCTACCCTTTCTTCTCAGGGCATTATTTTGCCCTCCAGGGTTTGGGACGCATACTCCGTCTTGGTCTAATGGACAATCGTTTATTGATTCGAGAAGGGGTCGCTGCTAGATCTAACAATACGATCTTCACTAGATAGCTTTCGCTGTGATGCCGTGCTCCCTATCTTTCCGCCTGGCTGGGTGGACCATGATTATGGGGACTGATGGGCTTTTCAAACCTGCGGGGAAAGAAGTAACTATGCTACATCTATGTCCAAAGGAAAATTCTCATTTAGCAATAGGTTAAAATGAAACCCAGTGGCTACTGTGCCCGTTGGGGGGCTTGTTTCTTTATCAGTCAAATGCTGTGCAATGTACCGACCGTTAACCTAGACTACAAGTTCAAATAGCGTATCAACCCCTTTTAACAACAGTAGCACAGTCAAACTTTCGTTCGATGGCGGGACCGTCACTAGAGATCCTCGATCATGGAAGAGATGTAGAGGGATATGCTACCTTCCAAGTGTCCCATCGCTCTGGAAACACATCCATGTTCGAGATGGCTTCCAGTGAGACCCGCGCTCTGTTGGATTCGGAAATTGTGAGTAGCAGGTCTCTAACTGAACTATCTAGGGTGATGGCGCCATTCCGCTAGCTACTGCTATGGACACAGCACATACCGAATAAACCGGTACAATATCACCGAGGGAAAGACTTACACCAATCGCCTGATCCAAGGAAGCCTACGGTATCAAAAGCTGAACCTTTCCAGTGAAGGAGGAATTGAGATTTCCTCCCTTGGGTTTAAGCCGATAGTGTCCCATACTCCTCTTTCTAATCTTCCAGGGGCCTTCAATTGCTTCGATCCTGTTCTAGACCGAATCTGGAACGTGGATGCCCGCATATCGCAGATGAATGAGCTTCCCGTCCAGAGCCTTCCAGGAATTTGGCTCATTACTAAAGAGGGCGATGCCCTGGTTGACTGCCTACGAGCTCGCTTTCTTCGTGAAGCCTTTGCTGGATGGCTTGGCTTTAGCTTTACTGGTATATCCATGGTTCGAGGCGCTAATGCGCAATGTTTTTGTTTACTTAAGCTGGATACTTTTACTGTCGTGACAGGTTTACAGTGATAGACACAATACACGAAGGAATTTTCCACTTGGTCTAATAAGTCCCATCCGTTGAGACTACCTAAAGTGGAAAGCCTTGTAGAAGAAGCTGGTACATATATTTCATTAGGGCTAGTGTGTCCAAGTATGCCGCTGTACTGCTTCGAAGGGATTCTTGCCTAAGGTTGCATCTAAGGTGGTAATTCAACACACACCACATGACGATCCTCGTGATAACACACAAATTGCCACGTCCACTTTTTACTACATCCTACATATCGCGATTGATCTTATCATCATGCCCATTCACCCGGCCAGGAGGAAGGAGAAAGAAATTAATCATTTCAGGTGGTCCACCATACCTGACCTCGCCTCATTAAGTGCATTTATCTTCTCCATGACCCTCCTCGCGTTCTTCTGCAGTTCCTCATCTTCATGCTCAATGTATTTCAAAGGACGCGTCGCCGAAATCGCATCTGGATCATTAATGACAATCAGCGGTGGGTTTGAACGATAATATGCATCCAGGTCTTCTAAGGTACGGTTTGCTATTTTACGATCAGCACACCTCTGGCAGTGTGGATTAACATACTATACTGACCTGTTTCCGGGTATAGATAGTATATGACGGGGACAAACACGGCGTTTATCACGGTCCACACGATCCAGAATCGCCAGCCGATATTTTGGATTCCAATCGGTGTAATTTCGACTATAATGAAGTTCGTGATCCTACGTTTATCACAGAACAGGATGAGTGACTGTGCTCCGGCGGATCATATTCTGAAATGGATACTTACCCATTAGTCGCGGTCGAGACGGCGGCTCCCTTCGTCCGCATGGGAAGCGAATTAATCTCCGTCGGGTATAACCAAGGAACGCCTAGCATGCCGATACCGAAAGTGATGTAATACAGGAAGAAGAAAGCCACAGAAGCGGTGGCGCACTTTTGATTGAACTCCGCGTATCGAAGCAAGACAGTGATGACCAAGAAGACAATGCCCTGTCCTATCGTGGAAAGCAACATGAGACCTCGACGACCACATCGCTCGACCAGGGTGACTGCAAGACACGAGAAGAAGAAGTAAGATGTGGCGTTGCAGGCGCTGAGGAGGCGGGACATGCTGTTTGATAGGCCGACCGAATTCATGAGGATCAGTGGTAGGTAATAGCTAATACCGTTGATCCCTAACACAAGCAAAATGAGTGCACAAACTTATGGATGTGAGTGAGTGGTCAGTTGATACCTTGAAATTGCTGCATAGCTTGCGTTCCGGCACCCAAAAGCAGTCGGCGGAGTGTTTTTGTATCGTTGGTTTTATCCCGACAAAAGAGATCCCTCCACCCCACCGCATTCTCGCGCTCGTATTGAATACTGTAGACGATTTCATCATGCTGGGTGGAAACGTAAGGGTCGTCCACAAGCTTTGCTTCAATCGCGGCAAGAACTTCGAGGGCTTCGGTCTCGCGGCCATGCGATAAAAGCCATCTGTATGATGTCAGCGCCAAGATGAAGAGTTTCCATACGAATGGGCTTGATAGCTAACCTTGGAGACTCAGGGAGCCAGGGAACCGTCGCATACAGGATGAACATGAAGAAAAATTGAAGCGCAATGGGAAGACGCCATGCAACAGCACCCTCGTGGAAGGATAGTCCATAATTGATCCAATTGACTAGGCAAAATCCCAAAATATTGAGTGCCATTTCAAGAATCACAAGTTTACCTCTCCATTTCACCTGAGCAGTCTCAGTCTGCCAAATAGGTGCCGTCGCGGTGTTGATCCCATTTCCGACACTAGCTTCGGGTCAGCATTAAACATTACATCTGCAAGAAGCAACATACCCGAGGATTACTCGGCCTACAAACATCTGTGCGAGACTATACGAGCTGGCTTGAAGAACAGTCCCAACGACCATGATCGTGGTCCCCACTAAGATAACTGTCTTCCGCCCTAAACGCTCACCGATAGTGAAGGCGGCAATGGCGCCGAGAAAGCACCCAACATCATAAATAGCTGTGACCGTTGAGAGCGTTTTGGTTTTAGTGGGCCCAACAAGGTCATGAATCTCCAAGAAATCCTGGGTAATGACAACACCGCCTGTGGTACAGACAAATGTTAGCCTTGATGACAATATGAGTTAGTGTTGGTTGGCCTACTGAAGAGACCCTGATCATAACCAAAGAGCGTCATGTCTGTTGCACAAGCAATCTGAAATACAAGTCGATTAACAACTGGGTTGGATTATGAACGCTTGCCTACGACTTACCGTTAACCAGAAGGTAAGCCATCCTCCTGTTAGCCCGAAGTAGGGCTTCTTTTCGCGGGTAGGTGAGACGGCCATCATGGGTACAGAGTAGAAGTTGCGATATTTTTGATACAATTCAATGAACCAGAGAGACTATTGGATTTGGATCAAGGACACATATATGTGACGAATTCATTGTGCTTATCGAGCGAGCCATCCATTTCTCGGCTGAGAGGCTTGTAGGGTAGGATTGCGGGGGCGACACTCCGGAAAGCAGGAAATCAAAGTCCAGACCGGGACATTTGCACCGTTGGGAAAAAGGGACTCTGCATTGATCATGGAAACAATAATTAAGAGTCAACTAGGTTGTTACTAACATGATGATCAGGATGAATGTTTGTGATCACCGCGAAAGTTGGCGACTTAATTGATGAAGCTGACTATGGCCATCTGCCTACTCTTGGATCCTGAACAATGCAGACTACAGGGCTTCAGCCGCGGGCTACGGTGTCTATTAGCTCGCCTGGCTCGTTGTTTTGGGTATTTTCTGAGACTCAGGAACCCTTTAGGCTCATCTATGGCGTGATAAGATGACCTGGTGTGCCTTGCAAAGAGGATTACTCTTCACCGGCTAACCAGACCTAGGGCATCCGGACCAGCCTATCGTTTTCATGGGTTGCGACTACTACCCCGACACCAATAACTCAAGAGGGCTCTCTAGGGCCTGATGTCTAGAGGACATTATGTTGCGCTAGTATGGGTGGTCGACGAGGGACGGGAATAAAAGCGCGGTATCAATCCTACATCGCATTGCTACGCGCTGGCCACAGATCGATCTAGACTATGAAACGGGAGCATATAAGATGAACATGTACTGTATATACATGGAATCAACATGGAAATTCCATATATTGGACAAATTGGGGTTAAAGGTCCCTTCGTTTGAGATTTTCGTCCCGTTTGATTTCCCGATCTGGGGTAATGAGGTGGGGGGTTCCGTTTCCCAAGACTTTTGTCGCACCGCATCCGGCGCTACACGTCCAGGAAGTAACCCTGCCAACGCTGACATCCCGTGGGAGAAGAAAGATGCTATTCAATATCCGGCTAAATTACTATGTCAGCGGGCAAGTGGGACGACGAAAATACTTCGAGAATTCTCTGACTCTCGCCCATAACGCCGGGCAATTCCGAGGGACGAGATACTATCATAGAAAGTAAGCTTTCTAGTTGGACGACATTACATCGTGTTGTAAGTATATTACTCCTAGTCAGACTTGGTCATGCAACAGCAACGCTTCCTATGATGGAGCTAGAAATGTGAGAACTATCATTATGTATTAATCTAAAGATCAGGATTTGAACCCCGCGAGGCTTCACTTCAAGCCTTCAAGCTGTCATGAAGGGCTTCACATGAACACTTCTTCTTCTCCACAAGCTCAAGGAACGTCCCCTCAAGTTCTTGCAATCCGCCCTCATGGTAAAATTGCAGACCGTAACCGGGTTGCCCGAACCAAGGTGCAATTGGTCCACCGGTGATGTTGAAGGTTTCTTTGACTCTCCATACCCAGTAGTTATACTCTGGGCTGTCGGGGTATTTGTTCAAGTTGCTAGGGGGAATCGATCGCCAGGAGAACGGGGTATCTTTAGGCGCGAGGTAACCTCCGTATCGTGTTCCGAACCGATCGAGTTCATATCCTTCATGGAGGGTGTATTCAGTTGTGACCGGGACGCCAGCCGAATCTAGGAGCGCGCCATCCTTGTCTGGGTATTCATATTTTTTACCACTGGGAACATACTTGTCCAGGAAGGCCTTCGGGCAGTATGAGCCGAGAGGACTATATCCGTTGAACATTTCAGACCATTCGGGGTCCTCCGCCGCCGTGAGAAGTTTGGGCCCAAGGTACTTGTTGTCGCACAGAGAATCGCTATGTCCCGTGCTAGGAACGCCCTCGCAAGGATTTGCACCACATCTGGCCACGAGAGAAGGCTACCAAGGTCAGTTCGTGTGTACAAGCTATCAATGGACGTGTACAGCACGGGGGATTCTTACGTCGAACTCAGGCGAGGATGCTTCGAGCGGCAATGAGAGGGCTCCCAATGGGAGCAAAAGCAGCGCCAGTGATGTGTGCATCGTTTTTGGAATTATGAAGCAGAACGACTCGAATTGTGACCACAACTGCAAAGAAGAACACCCGCCCTCCCTCATTTTGGGTGGTGGAAACGATGCGAATTTATAGCCATATCCATGCGAGCTCGGAGGATATCCATCTCATCTACTCCGTGTGAGCAGTGGGACTGTGTTTTGCTATGGCCTGTTCAATACAATGTGAGAAGTCACATCGAAGAACCCTTTGCCCCGTGGGCCGGACCTCCTGGCAAAGTTCTGCAAGCTAAACCTGTAGCTGAAATCTATGAGCAAAGATGATGCCACGATATGTGTCTAGGCGTCTCAGTGCATACGGCTTCTCCAATCAGCATGTACGCATTTTCCCCCTTGATTTTGGATCGGAACTAAACACGAACACCATAAGTAGCTCATTGTCAATAGCTCTGCAGCCAAGACTGATGATCAGCCAACCGCCAAGGAGAAAAGGTCCGCTGCAGCCCTGCCAAGCAGATGGATGAGCTGTTCGTCTCCTACACAAACAATCATTCGGCTAGGAAAAGGAAGCATATCATGTGCAAGGCGATGATAATCACACTTAATTACAGAATTCATGATTAAATCATTGAATGTCTTCGATAGAGATCCAACTAGGATAATGATGATTACCAGGGTCTTGTCAGGAACCTATGGTGGAGCCCAAAACTCAACTTCAGGATACTCCACACTTCAGCTCTTGCCTTACGTTTTGCTTTTTCTCAGCTCGTTCGCCTTAAGTTCCAGTGGAGTTCCCAAGCCAATATTGTGTGGATTCTTACCCACACCGCTCAGATTTCTGCAGTTTCCATTGCCAATCATTTCATCTATGCCCCTTTTCTGAGTTCCTACATAGATTCCATCCCGTTCCTCCTTTGCAAGGGTACAGGGTACAAGTGCTTTGATCGCTCTCCCACTCTATTTTACTTTCGTTGTTTCTATACTATCTAACAGGTTCTTTCTATTGGTTTGAGGAAAATCCGAGCTGAAGGTTAGCGTTTTCGGCAGATCCAGAATGCAATACAACCGACTTTATTAATCTCCGACTTGCTAATGTGAGGGTTATCCAAGCATAGCCCCTTGTGGTAATACCACATGAGAAAAGCAAACACCAGTCATGAATAGAACGGGATAAAAATATATTTGTCTAGACCAAATTGCCTCCAAAATACAAAGGGCAGATGGGCAAGCCCGAAGTTCACAAATGCCACTCCGGCGGCACATGTCTTGCGCTGCATTTATATCACCTGACCTAGATAGCCTCGTGATGAAACACAGCCCACGGCGACACCATAAAGATTCGGTAAGTTCACTTAGTGGGCCATTGTCAGACCAAGTTGGTGTCGCTCAGGCTATGTGATACTACATCCTGGTGAGCACTCGCGATTGCAATGTGTGCTGTGATGGCGATACCGTGGACGTGATCCATATGACCACGCCAGCTGTATCCTACGCTTCACCTAACTAAATAAAGCGCACAACTACCCTCCAGTCAAAACCCTGTTTTCCTGCCACTGATCAAGCTCAGCACCACGAGCGGTGAACTCGGCCTCAAGCTTGACAAGAGCACCCAGCTCGGTGGTGCAGATGGGACACAAGCCATGAAAAACGGGATGCGACGCCAATGTCCCGGCTAGATCTATAGCTAGCAAAGGATGGCGATGGAGAACAAACACGACCTGTCCAACGCTATCTACCGGTTCTACTTTAACTCTATGGAGCCTCAGGATGCAGGGTTAATGTCTTTAAATTTACTAGCTTGCAAATTTATAGAATGAAATTTTGGATTTCCGTTTCCTTGAACCTTTATACAAAAGTCGAGATTTTTGGAAGATCTGCAATTACAGAAAATGCCCTAGTCCGAGGCCGATGTGGTTACATTGGCTCTTCCGCTTCCAGTAGGAGGTTCTGGATGGAGTGATCATTATTATACAATCGAGAGTGGTGTAGTTACACTGGTTATTCCACTTTCAGCAGATCTTGGAGCATACCACTCCTTCCTTGAACAAATTATTATTCCAAAAATGGCCGCAAATACTGAACTCGTGGATCCATATGGGTGGGTATACAGCTACGAAACTTATTAGGTGCGGTGCAAGCTGGGTCGTCAGCCTGTCTCAATCCAAGGATCCCTTTACTGGAGCTCCAGAGGATTGTACGTCTGGGCGAACCCAATATATGCAGCTATCGACGCAAAGAACCCCTTCTGGGAGTGACTCAGCGACGAATATACTAATGTAGACTATTCTTTCGGTTTAACTGCCCCGACATAGTGTTGGCTATTAAAGGCAACAATTACACTAGTGCTCTGAAAAAGACCAGAGAAGAAGAAACGAACACAGACAGAAGTCACCCCCTATATTCGCGTAACGGAGGGTGGAAAACAATGATGGGAATTATCCCACAGGGTGCGACACAGAAGAGATTCAATCAATGCGGCTCTCCAATCGAATACCAACTCCCACCATCCCTGGATCTAGGCTAGCCCAGGGATAGTGGATATACAAGGATAACATTATTGTCGGAACGTGCCAATCTTTTCCCCCACCCGGTAAGGTATATTGCGTTCGGCGCTGAAAGTGACCCTTTTCTCGAACACTACTACAATATCCGACCCGCCAAATTGGAAATATGATAGCTCCTCACCCTTGGCTAACGTCACACCCTTCTGGGCTGTAAGCATCACGGAGGAGACTTGTGCCATCCCAATGGGCAACACAGCAACAAGACCAAATCCCTCCGTCTTCAGCACAACAAGTCCACGCATTTGGCACCATTGGTAGCCTGCTCTGTCCCGACCGACAGGGACAGTGGAATCAAGAACATCCCCTGCCCCAGGAAGCGGTAATGGGCGAACTAGATATGGCCTCTTTTTTTTATCCAGAGCTATTTCCTGGTAGACCTGACCCTGGGTTTTGAAAGCTTCCACAACCTCTCCAGCTACTGGGGCATGTTCACGATGGTAGTTTTTGGATGAAAGAAACATATGCATAAAAGTCCCATTCTTGAACGCATCGGCATACTGACTGCCTCTCAACAGCTCGCTGATATCCCAGGTAATACCTTTCAGTTCAATTGTGCTGGACCCATCTGGAAAGGTAATCTTTCCATCGTTTATATCTGCCCAGCCATCAAACGTAGAGTCGGCTGGGCTAACCACGACTACCGGATTGGAAGGTTCTGCTATCGGCCGAACACCTGGCTTCAGACTTCGCGCGAAGAACTGATTGAACGTTTTCCAGCCACCTCGGGGCTCGAGATAGTCTGTCATATGATAATCAGGATTTTTGTAATAGGACTCCAATGACTCTTCTGTTAGCGACTGAGGCTCGTCCATGAATCTCCCTATCTCGTTGGCGTAACAGACAAGCCAATCAGACAGCCAAGATAATGGTCCTGCCGCAGTGCTTGGCTCACTGGGTGTCTGATATTGCAGGACGGACTTTTGGTCGAAAATGAAGTAAAAAATGGTCATTCGTTGCGACATCCCGTTCCTTGGGTCCTCCATACTTGGAATCCATTTCAAATGGCGCTCGATGAAGTTAAAGAAAGAATCCAAATCAACAATGCCATACTCATTTAGTGCATCAGGTGCGCTCTTGTGGGCATTGGAGATTGCGTTCTTGAAGTCGTCAGCCCATGAACTCGTGCTGTAGATTTTGTGGATTAGATCTTTCACGACCGGTGAATATTTGTCTGAAGACATGGTTCTTTAGTCGTCATCCCCAGAAGACGGGATATGTCAACTCAACCTGATGGATGCTAAAGCAAACTAGGAATTCCGTATTTCAAAGATCTGGGTAAAAGTTTATATAAGTATTGTGAGTCACTGTAATAAAGGTGCACTTTAAGCTTACGTTACATTCAGTTAGAATTCTTCAATGATGGTTGAAAATACAACATGATTTGTCATATATTTTCCTGCCTCCTCCTCGATGCATCCATTAGGGTTCGTTTGCCCGGCACCAGACCTGCCTTATCTATGAACAAAAAAAATTCTGATGTTACATTTGATATTAGATTAGCGGAGAACTACAAACGGTAACCACAGCTTCCCCACTCTCTCCAGCACGAGCCGAAATTTACATGAGGGTTTGCGAATGACATGCTGAACATTAGATGGACTGCTTGTCTACACCTCGCTACGGCCGCGACCTGTCCATGGGTTAACGGGGCCTAGAAGCTTACTCCTTCGTTAGGGCAGTAATCGTTACTGTTAGAGCTGGAGTTAGTTTCCGTCTGCGTGAGGCTGAGTCTATAGGAGCCTATCATGATGTTTCCTATTACTACATGCATATCTCAAGTCAGCGATGCACGTCGGTGGATAGCCACTCTTATAGTCTGGCAGTTTGTTGGCTGGCATGTATGCAGCGGTAGGCGGTCGAACATATTCGCGGTGACGAAGTTAAGAATAGAAAAAGAATTATGTGAGAGGCAAATTTTTAAAAGGCACTAGGACTTGTTTGATAAGGGGATGGATGAAAAGGAAGAAAAGTAGGAGGAAGGAGGATGTGGCTCTGTGGAAGATGGGTTTATTTATGTTCTATGAGAAAGGGAAAGGTTTGGTCTGCAGCTGTGCATCTCCATTATCAGGAGGAAAGGAAGATGTTTCCAACTTTCCTTGCGAATTGCCGATATTGAGAATTCATGCCTGGAGAATGGTGAGGATTACGATATTAGCCGCTGATCAACCTCGCCGAGACTGTCGACCCCTAATGATAAAGTGAACAATTGCATGTATAGCCCATAAGAGGCTTTTTAGTGCCAAAGAAGCGCCTCTCTTGCTCTTAGAACACTTTCTAGTTCACATAAAATTCATTGACTGACCAAAATATATCGCAGACGGCATATACTTTTTCCATTTATTTTTGTACCGTGTCATCACTTGTGGCAGCTTTTCTTCACATATCGATACACGGAATAAAAACTACTATCTTCACTCCACAATATAAGTAGAATACCTTCACACTTGTTTTTGTGGTGAATAGCTAAGCGGCTGTTGTGAATCACCTTAAGGAGACATACGTTACTAGCCACTATGATAGTGGTCAGATACACTAATAATACCTGCGACTTCCGCCTTGCTACTACTATTTCAATCTATATGATTCAACCAAGCGTACTTGCATCAAAAGTCCCAGAAGAACAATAACATGCAAATGTGATCAAGGTTGCCGAGGTAGTACGCTGACCACCTTTGGTCATGTTCATCTGCAGCTCCGGGAATACTGTCACTGGAAGAACTTCTTTTGCTGAATCAACGCGGTGCCGACCTCGGCATCATGACCAAAGATAATTGTAGCCGAGTATTGCTTCTGCAATCGCCGGATAAAATTCGTGCTATCCATCCAGCTCTTATGATCCCGGAGGAGCCAGCCCTGCGCGTGGTTCTTCTCATAATTTTCCCGCACGTGAAACTGGTCCGTAGTCCAGATAAAAGTCCCGTCCTGAGGCAGATTGACCTGCATAATGCAGAGTCCCGGCGTATGTCCGGCGCAAAGATGCAATGTTATTCCCGTGCAAAGGTCCAATTGCGAGTCGTTGAAGGTTTGCCAATTCAGTGACCCATCAAGAGGGAGATAGTCCGGTCTAGGGTTTTGTCAGCAAACTCAAGATCTAACACAGCAGGTTTACCAAGAGGGTGCATAACGTACAGATAAGAGCCTCCTTCTATTTTGGTTCCTGCCCCCCAGCACGCGTACTTGAACTCCTCCTCGTGCACGTAGATGGGCACTCTCGTGTTGAGGAAATGCTCCAGGCCTCCCGCGTGGTCCAGATGTAAATGTCCCATGACGACTGCTTTGACGTCTTTGATATCATAGCCGGCCGCTTTAATCGCAGCGGGAAGACGATGTTGTGGCTCGTAGCGTGTGCGCGGGAAGACATCAGCAGACGCGGGAGTCCATTTCTGCGATTCCAATCAGTGCCATACTAAACCCACTCATACTCTAAACCTACAAGCTCGATATCCTCGGCACATCCGGTTTCAAACAAAATCAGTCCCATCTCCGGGTGGTCAATAAGACCTGACAGCAGCATCAAGTCTCGCCATTTCCGAGTGGGCTGGGGTTCGCTGAAGGTGCCTGTATTTCCCGCCGTGAAAATCCTAATTATATTAGCCAGATCTATCTTAAAGAGTATCGGAACCGCGTCCCAACCATCCCTCATCACAGCTTAATGTCCCTAAGTCCAAGATGTGCATTTTTGTTCCCTCCGGACAGGTATAAGCGGGAATTGATGCTTTTGCTAGTTGTCGAGAATTCATGGTGAAAAATTGAAGTGCCTTTCCGTTCTTATGCTACTTTATTCTTGGGAGAAATGAGTAACGTCTCAAGACAGGCATTGTGGGTAGAGACTGTTTAAGTACCTCTTTCGTGCGGGGTATTTATTGCTCCGCTGCCACAGCTTATCGTGTCCGAGTGGATCGGATCTTCTTTCCCTTTCCCCCTGATGTTCCTGTCAGCAATACGATACGAACTGTGGTCTTACGTTCTGCTTTTCAAGTCAGTCGATCCTTGTCCCATACTCTGCAGAAAAAGCACCTGCATCACGTGTTCCTCTGCTGATGACACGAACCCCTATGGGTGCCGTCTATTTCATATCAGCTTAAGACCTCCCAATTCCTGTACAGTCCCCCGAATCATCAATAATCTCTCAGTTGCCTCCTAGAATGGACCATTATCTTGATGGTCTGTGTCTCTAGGACTGGATTCCCTGTTTACGCAGACAGACCACCGTTGCACATTCATACATCTTATCCTTTCAAATAATTATTTGATCCAGTAAATTCCATTGCGTCTTTACTTCCTCCTAACTTTGTAGAGCAAGAACCAGGATTACTGTATATCGTGCAAGCATACGGCAGTCCAGGCAATATAATGATGTTGGTCCGTGCATAGGCTCTATCAACTTTAATTAAGCCCTAACCAAGACCCCTCCATCAACATGCTATCCAAGAAAGAAAACAATACATTCTCTAGCGAACAGAATCTCACACAGTCTCCTGTCATAAATGCTGTGGTGACTACAGGGGGATCAAGCCACTCCAAAAGATTAAACCCCTGTCTTCAATGATGCATCCATTCATTCATTGTACCGTACGCCCAGAACCCCAATAGTTAGATAGACAAATCGACTTGTGCCATGATGAACGCCAAAGCTTCCATAATAAATCAAAGCTTCGAACCAAAAGTAGAAGCCCATGGTTCATATCCCGCCGATTTGAAAATGCCCTCGATTTGTCTCCTCCTCACGCCAACATTACCACCATCGAAGATGGGCAAGCACACGGCATCATTTAGCAAAGCCCCATACTGCGACGTTATCTGGTACGCTTGAATGCCAACAGCATTCATCCCCTCAACCACGCACTGAACCGCATTATCAGAACAAAACACCTTAGTGAGCTGCGCAATCTCCGCCGCCTCAGGTAATCTCTCCAGAGTAGCACAAGCCTTCCACGTCAACGCTCTAGAAGCTTCACAGCGCCCTTTCATCTTGATCAGCAAATCGGCAACACTCTGCTTGTTAATAATTGCCTCCGTCCCATTCCTCGTATCTGACTTAGCAAACCGAAGCGTAAGCTCAAAGCACCGCCTCATGATCGCAACAGCCATTGCCCCAACCAAAGCCGCAGAAGCAGTAAACGCGGCTTCAATAACCTCCGCCCCTGCTCCAGGCATCGCAATAACCTCTCTTGCCACAAACTCCCGGAACCGAATATGCGGGCCGGAAACCGCCCGATGACCGATCGTTTCAGGGTGCGACAGAACCTCATACGCGTCAGGGGAATTAGCCGCAACATCCTCCCTCGTCACTAGGAGAATCATCGTCTGCCCTTTGGCACCGGCGGAAGCATACGGGGCATCTTCACACCGACACGTAACGCACTGGATGTCCGCACCGCGATCATCCCACCCCACGCAGTTCGTGGCCCATAACTATTACCACGCTGTCAGACACCACCGATATACATATCCACTTCACACCAATGAAATCTCAAGGCAATTACCTTCTCCCCATTAATAACCCACCCATCCTCAACCCGCCTAGCCGTCGTCCGCAGCCCCGTCACCCCATAATTAGCCGTTCCACCCGGCTCAGAATGCACCAAGCTCGCCAACGGCGCCCCCTTACTCCCCGTAAACGGACCCAGAAACCTGCTCTTCTGTGCCTCCGTCCCCGCAATCAGCAGTGGGGATAGACCGAGCCCCGTGGCCAGGGTTGTTAATGCGACGTTGACATCTGCTGTGTACAGTTCTTCGGTTAGCAGGGCCATGTCGATCAGGCTGTATCCTGCGCCGTTGTACTTGGTTGGCACTTGGGCGAGGATTAGACCGGTCTGGACGGCATGTTCGTAGAGGGGCTTTATGGCGGAGAATCGGGCTTGCAGGGTGGGGAGGTTTGAGTATAGGGTGTGGGCGTCTTTGAGGTGATTGGATGCGAAGGTGTGGGCGTGCGTACGGATATTGGTTTGGGTGGGGGATAAGGTGAGGTCGATCATTGTGAGTTGATTGGCTATGTGAGCCTCGGTTGGTAAAGAAGACGAGGGGAAAGGGACGAATTCTAGATTGGAATGAGTACCTATTGCTGAAATGATCCGAAGAATTAGGGTTTACGTTCGGTATATATGATGCCAGAGTATTTATAGCTTCGTCCGGAGAGTTAATAGCCCGCATTCTTTGTTATACGAATCGGAATTGGTTCCGCTGTATCACTTGGCTTGCTGCTTTCGGAGAAGATTAGCTGTCGCGCATGAGCTGGGGGGTGAGGGGGGGGGTATATATGTTAGTCAATACGAGGTTTGTACCATTTGTATACGTTAGCTTCTATATCACTTTTCCAGAGATATGGAGTGTTATAGAAAGAGCCAGCTTGGGTAACCAGCGCAGGTCTCGTGGAAATCCAAAAACAATTCACTTCACACTCAAAAGGCATACCACGGCCGGCCTGAAAGACAGAAAATTTTCATTCCTAACTTGTTAACATCTGCATCAATCCAACAGCAAGCATATAGAGAAAACCGTGTCAATAGACGCATAATAGTCGTCAAAACAAATAAACTAGTCCGTGGCCTATTTCCCCGCTTCAAATATGATCTTCTGCGATTTCATCTGGTTGAAATCGTCGTACCTAAAAGCCATCAGTAAGCGTCCTTTACCCACAACGCAAAACACTCACGCCTCAATCGCCTGTGACAATGGCCTGATATCTTGAACCATGAAGCTGCAAGAACGTCAGTCATACGCTTCTAAACAAACAAAACAACCTACTCCAAGGAATCCTGCTTCCGGACCAGGAAGTCCAAAGCATCTTCAAAAATACCTAATCACCCGAGTAAGCACAGATATCATGCCCAAGGGGAAGATACGTACTGCGAACAGGACAACGTCCCATCTGAATCTGCAGGTTCTTCCCGTACGCCTCATTCCCAGTCCAGGGAATCTCCCCATTATGCACACCAACGCTCGAGATGCGACCCCACGGCCTCAACATGTCAAACGCCATACGCAAAGCACTGCTATGACCGACTACTTCAATGGCCACATCCGCACCACGCCCGTCAGTAAGATCCTTCACGCGCTGGCCCAGACCTTGGGCGTCGGTCTGGAAATTCCACGGCTCCGCGCCCAAGCTCTTTGCGAGCTCCAGCCGTGACGGAACACTATCGATAGCGATTAAGTGCTTCGGCCGATACTCAAGCGCACTGATTAGAGCACAAACCCCCACAGGCCCACAGCCAAAGAGCACGACCGTACTCTCCTCGATCGTAGCCTGGTCCATGCCGCGGAATGCGTTTCTCGCCGCAAAGAACCCCGTCGGCAGGATATCCGCCATCAGTACGAGCTTCTTCTCATCAACGGCTGCGGGCGCCACAACAAGAGTCGAATCGGCGAGTGGAACACGCGCGTAATCGGCCTGTCCGCCGTCGAGCATCGCTGAGCCGTATAGCTTACCTCTCGCGCATCGCGATGAGCATTTCCGCCCACAGTAGAAGCATTCGCCGCAGTTCACGGTGAATGGGGAGACGACGAGGTCGCCTACGTTGAATTTGCGGACTTCCGGGCCGATCTCGACGATCTCGCCGGTGAATTCGTGGCCCATTATGAACCCCGTACCGGATGGTTGATGGCCGCGGAAGACATGGAGTTCACTTCATACATTAGGCCTTTTTTACGTTTGAACAGGAGGCAGTGAATGTTGTTTACCTGCCGCATAGCGCCGTGTACCGTACTTTGACGATGACGTCGGTGGGTTCCTGGATCTGAGGAATAGGACGCTGTTCCAGCGCGACCTGTAGCGGGCCTTTAAAAATTACTGATTGCATCGTGGACATCTTGTTGTGGTGCTGTGTGTTGCAGGGAAACTGTCGTGTTGGTCGTTTTGATGTGAGGGAACTACTCCTCTCGATCACCCCACTCGAGGGCTACAGCCTCGGCTGCAACTCAGGTGACGTGTGCATAAGTAACCTCTATCTCTAGTTCTTTTCTGCAAGTTTTTTTTCGGCATAGAATTGAACTCTCCTCTTTAGGATTTTCGGAAAATATTGTATTAGCAGGTTTTAGGTCGTTCTCTTGGTGTATATGCCTCAGGCTCTTTTCTCACTGGACATGAGGCGCGTAGATACGATCTAGTTTTTATACTCACTTTTTATATTCCAAACTTCAATTTTCGTTCCTTTGTATTTTGCTCCCATGGTACAAAGTATTAAAGAAACGTGGTCGAAACCATAGCCACCTATGTGATCGTTTAAATCTGAGTTACGGTACTCTATCTAGCATCCGTGGTCTATATATATATATATATATATATAAACCTATTGAAGTTACAATTATAGCCCTATTGCCTCAATGCAAACCAATAAGTGAATCTCTAGTCTACTAAACACTCCACCCGACCAACAAAGACCAATTAGATAAAACAAACAACATTTTAACCGATGAACCGCACCCTAGGTTACTCCTAGTAGAAACACTCGGTACGATGGCGGGTCTACAACATGTGATTGGCCGACTCCAGATAGATCCTCGGCATTACCGAATATGCGGGGAATCGGCATAAAAAAAGCATGGCTCATGAATGAAACATTCATAAAATCAACCCCATATATACATCTACACCATAATCGTACAACCACAGCCTTCACACTTCCCCCCGAATCCGCAAATAATTCACCACCAACACTAAATTGAACTCCTAAAAATGTCCCCTACAAATCCCCCCAATCCTATCCCCTTCTCCGAACCCCCCTACCTCACCCTCCCATCCCCCTACTACACCGACTCCCACCGCCGTTTCCAAAAAGCCTGCCGCGCATTCCTCTGGGAAAATCTCCTCAGCCACGCCCTAGAGTGGGAACAAGAAGGCACAGTCCCAGACCATGTCTTCCAAACCTTCTGTAAACACAACATGCTCATCCCCAACCTGCCCGCGCCGCTCCCAGTCCCCTGGTTAAAGAAGCTGGGTATAAACGATATCCTGGGCGTAAATGTCGAAGACTGGGATTATATGTATACGGGCATATACTGTGATGAGGTCCGTTCTTTATCCCCTAGATCAAACCCCCTTCCTTCCTCCCCTCCACCCCACCAAAAAAA